CGGGCTTACGATCTCTTCCCATTCACCTCTCTTCATTGCAGAATCTTTTTTAAAAGTGTACAAAGTTTTCTTGAACCTATTAGCCATGATTGTGCCGGTTCCATCAAAGTGCCTGTCATTTAGTTCTCTGAGCAAAGGGATCGTCGTGAAGTAGCGATCAAAATATAAGCTTCCGCCAAGAAGAGTCCTTGCTAAACGCAAGACTACGGCGGGACCCAAACCAAAAGACCTATCGGGCAAGTCAGTTGTAGCACCTTGATATATTTCAAAATCAAGTACTAGGCCCTGTGGTTTTGTAATTACAAAAATTTTTAAGCCTACAGGTCTAGGTTTGTTTGGCACATATTGCTTGTCAGGACATCGGCCAGTAAAAGGAATCATTTGCTCATCTATGGAGAATGTAGTGCTTTCTCGAGGCAATGCCAGGCAACGATTTCTAACAGCGTCTATCACAGGCTGTATTTTCCACAAACGGTTCCTGGCCTTTTCGTCCTCATCAACGCTATTATAATCAACAACATGCAGATTAACTCGTAATAAAAAAAAACGATCACGAGACATCGCCGAGGCAATAGGATCGTATTTAAATTTCTGATGCCAGTACATCTTCATCCTAGGACATTTGACAAGACTCATCATACCATGAACCCCAAAAAACTTTTTAATCTCACCTGGCGAGCATTGTGGCTTCATTGCACACCCCTTTTCAGCTATATAGTACTGTGAAGTGGCAGTCGAAAACTGTTCAAATAATTCCTCAGTAAAATAGTTTTCAAAATACTCTGCTGGCGATTTTGGTGGCTCACCTGGGTCTGGAGGCTGTTGGACTGCGGTAGGCCTACCACGGAACTTCTTTTTAATCCATTTTCCATCATCAGATTCACGAGAAATCGGCAGTGAAGACAGAGGCATGTCGTCCTCAGAATCATCAGATAAACCGTCATTTTCAGCATCCGGGGCCCATGTGTCGTCCTCATCATCACCTATATCCTCTAGGTCAGATTGCTGCAGTAAATTTTCAATATCCTCATCATCGAGCTGAGACATGTTTCCCGCCAAAATGGTATTTTTTTATTGATTGGGGCCGGCGTGCAACAATTGTGACGGTAAATTTCTTACTTAATTTTTCGTACATTAAACCTAAAACAACGACACAACTAATTCAGCTTTGTGTAAAGTAATTAATACGTAATAAAATAATACCACAATTGTTATGATTTCTTTAAAAATAAGTAAAATATTCTTACCAACACGTGGCGTGACACAGGTGGCGATGATCGTCAGAATGAACGGGTCGAAACATGAAGAGCGGCTCGTACGCAACTTGTCTCACTCACACCAATGCAAAGTAGATAGCCGGCACAATCGTGCGAGCTTGGGCCCGTCTAAGTAATATTATTAATTTAACGGAAATTTTGCTTCAAACTACCGTCACAATTGTGTTCGGCAGGGATGTAAGGGTTAAAGTAGATTGACGCTCTGCCTGTTCAAGACGCCTTTGCTGACTTTGATCACGTGTTTCAGTAGCTCTTAAAGTAGCTTGACGCTCTGCCTGTTCAAGACGCCTTTGCTGACTTTGAGCAGGTGTTTCAGTAGCTCTTAAAGTAGCTTGACGCTCTGCCTGTTCAAGAAGCCTTCACTGACTTTGAGAAGGTGTTTCAGAAGCTCTTAAAGTAGCTTGACGCTCTGCCTGTTTAAGACGCCTTTCCTGACTTTGAGAAGGTGTTTCGGAAGCTCTTAAAGCAGCCTGACGCTCTGTCTGTTCAAGACGCCTTTGCTGACGTTGAGAAGATGTCTCAGATGCTCTAAAAGCAGCCTGACGCTCTGCTTGTTCTTGCCTTCTCAGTTCAGCATCTTCTAAAGATTCTAGCGATCGAGCTAATCTTTTCGCTTGTCTTTGAGAAGATACTCTTGAAAGGCTGGACTTACGTTTGCGAGGCATTATGAAGTAACAAAAAACCTATTTATAAAAAAACGTTAAAATACATAAAAGGAATTAAATTTCCTTTTAAATATATTTTTAAAAGCAAATTCAAAATATATAAGAATAAATATTCCTTTTAAATATTTTTGAAAATCAAAACAACAAAACCAATTCAAGACACAACACGAATCCGAAAACGATAGCCAAAAAATCGAATCAAATTAAACCAAATCACAAAACAAATCGCAGAAAACCGAAATTGAAAGCAGTAGTCAATATAAATATAACCAACGAAAAAAGAAGTAAGTGCATAGGTACCGTATACACTATCTATACCAGAGTTCCCCAAACTTTTTTGTGTCGTAGACACCTTGCCATGTTTTTCCGTGTTGGGTAGACCCCCTACTTACCTGATATTGATTTCCTGTAAATTTCTAACTGTAGTGAAGTTTAGTATTAAGTAAAAACTTAAAGTAAAAACACACGTTAATTTATAAATTTATTAATTGAATTTAAATTAAAACTACTCAAAATAAAATTTTGTATCTGTTATGTAAAATATACGTAGCATTAAATAAACATAAAATAAACTATAAATAAAATAACATAAGCAATAAGTCAATATTTTTAGTGAGAAGGATGAACCTGATGCTTTAATAATAAATTATCAACATTTGGCGTCAATTTTGTAAGGGTTAATCTTAAATCTCCTCGGCTAATGATGTCCAGTCTATTTCTTTTTTTCGTTAGGAGATTGGTAACAACGCTGAACCCCCTTTCCACTAGGTATGACGATGGAAAGGAAATTAAAAATTTCCTCGCTATATTCCATAATACGGGATAAGTAACGGGTATGTTGTTTTGCAGCCAGAATTGCTGATATCCGTTTTTAAACTGAACCTTAAGTTTTTCGTGTGTATTTAGTTCAGTCAGTTTCTCTTGTATTATGACATTCGTTTCTTATATGTCACCATATGGATTAATTATCCACGGTGGTATTACCATAGTCAAAATATCCTCAAACCTAGATTCAAAATCTGAATAGAGGGAATTTAAATGTTGAACGTAAGTTGAAACGTCGTCTTCCTGGCAGCTTGCCTGTGACAAATTGGGGAACTGAGAAAATTCGCCCCGTCCAATATTTTGCTTCATTAGTTTAACTCTGGCAAAAAACGCTGATAAGATGGACTTTGTTTAATCAAATTTAAACTGTCGCCTTGTAATTGCAAATTAACCATATTAAATTTTGTAAACAAATCTGTTAAATAGGCGATGTCTGTTTTCCTCTTCATTAAATTTTCTTTTAAAATTTTATCTTTAGTGTCCAGAAATTCTAAAATAGTCTCAAAAAGTGCAAAAAATCTTGTCAAACATAAGCCTTTCGACAGCCAGCGTACTTCAGTGTGAAGGAGTAACTGATGAAAGTGTTCGTCATTTTCTTCACACAACTGCGCAAATAACCGTGTATTCAACGCGTTGCTTCGGATTCGGGGACTGCATCAATGACTAAATGAAGTGATTCATGCAATCTAACACTCAAATTTTTAGCAACTAAATGTTGTCGATGGATGACGCAATGTATTGCTAACACCCCTGACACATTTTGTTTTAAATAGCTTATAAATCCACGATAACGTCCAACCATGGCAGGTGCTCCATCTGTAGCTACTGATATTATATTTGATAAAGGAATTGCTTTTTCAATGAAGTAATCCTTCAAAAGATGAAATATTGATTCACCTTTAGTGTCGGTTATCAAAGTTCTTGCGAAGAGCAGTTCTTCGTAGATTTCTTGATTCATAATAAAACGAACATATGCCAATAATAATGCTGCATTATCAGATAAAGTTGACTCGTCCAGTTGTACAGAGAAATGGGTCGTTTGCAAATAATTACATAAGCAGCTTTCAATATCAAAACTCATTTCATCAATACGTCTTTCAACAGTATTGTTGTTTAAGGGAATTCTTTTAATGATATCAGATGCATGTTTGTGTAAAACAGTTTTTAAAACCTCTTCAACGGCTGGCAAAATTAACTTCTCTCCGATAGTATGCGGTTTTCCGGATTTTGCTATAAGTAACGAGATATTGTAAGACGCCCGCAAACCATCATCATTTCTTTGTGACGTTGAGGCGAACATTCTGTCCAGTGTAGGTCTCTTCTGAAGTTTATCTTTTAGTGTTTGAAAGTATTTCAAATCTTTCTCTGTTTTATCAGGGTGGCATCTTCTCAGATGATCTTGCAGTTTAGATGGTTTCATAGCATCATTGCCCAAAACTTTGTTGCATAAAAGGCACATAGGCAATTGTTTGTCCGGAAATGATGGAATGAAGCCAAATTTCAAATAATCGACACTGTACTGTCTACATTTCTTTTTAGATTCGGACATGGCATCAGTCATCTGTGGGCAAAATTAAATTATTTAAATAAGACAGATAATCCAGCAGCTGTATATTAAAAATATTTTTTGATTTTTCCGAAAACATTCCATAACTCGAACATATTCTTGCAACAATTAGCTCGAATTACGGAGATTGCACTTTAATTATAATACCGATTGCTAAAACTTTCAAAAAGAAACTATTGAGGAGTACTCGTGTAATTTTGCATGATTGAATATTAAACTACTAATAACTAAAGTCATGATTGGCGTAATTTATCTATCTTTGCCAACTACGAGTACAAAACTAAAATTTAATAAAAAATAATGTACTTACTTTTCTCCAGCAATCTCAAACAAAATAACACTGACTCACTATAATTTGTATGATATACTATCTATTTATATTTTTTAAAATATTTTCTTAGCACTTTCCTTTTCAAGATTCAGGAAACAAATAAACGTATTTGTCCCACATTCGTATTTATAGAGTGACGAATTGAACAAGTCAGTGCAAGGTAGCGAAGCTCTGAGACTGCGACTCTCAGGTTTTTACAAGTTCAAAATGTATTGCGACCACAAAGCGAATACCAACATCCTACAACTTACACAATTTTATAAACATATATAATAAATTTTTTACTTCATAGGTACTTTTATAAATAATGTATATGTTTGATATTATAAGATAGTATGATGTAAGTAAATAGGTACTATCAGTGTATGTGTTGAGATCCACTATCGTGGACCCCATTTTCATTTCATGGACCCCCAAATTTTTTTTCGCTGTCATAGACCCCTAGGGGTTGATATAGACCACTTTGGGAATCACTGATCTATACTATTAATATTCCTTTGAAATATTGTTAAACAACCTAAAACAACGAAAACCAATTCACGATTCTAAATAAACAAAATCCAAAATCAAAGCCAGAGTCTAAATATGTATAAAGGAATACCAACCAAATCAACAAAACCGATCCAAGAAAATACACAAATCCGAAAATGAAAGCCAATATAAATCTATTCAACCTTAACCAAATCACAAAGCAAATAACAAACAACCGAAATCGAAAGCAGGTAGTCGAATAAGCTACGAAATAGAAACAATTTAAGCGTATAGGTACCGTATACACTATAAGTTGACGCGCGGCTCAACGGCGGGAGTTAAGTATATGTCAGGAAACACTTCGTTACCGCGTTTTAAAAACCTAGTAACGACATCTAGCGGAATCAATTTAAACTATTTATACGTTAATAAGAACTCTCAAAAAATATTTTTCTTATAATTTTGCACAATTTTTCTTATTGTAATACCGATTCATTCATAACCACATATAAGAACTGTATTCATTTCCGTTCAATAAATATTACTAAGGCTTATTAATAAGGCTTACTAAGAACTAGTACCACAGTTAAGTAATAGTTAAGGGTGAAAGCGTGACAGGTGGTGATAGTATTTCTGATCCATACTTATAATCACGCCTGTAACCGTTGTGGGGTAGTCAGAGCATCAACGGATTACTTAATATCGTCTGCGAGGATATCGCCTATTCTGTGAATTACAATGCTCCAAAACGTTTGAAGAAAATCAGCTGGTGAATTTTATGTTTTTTATCGCTCTCTTCCCGGTCCTGCATAGAAAAATACAGATCCATACATTTTTATCTTAATTTTGGTAAAGACATAATAATCCAGATATTCTGACCTGTGTTCGTCCATCGTACCGTCGTCCGTCTTGTAGAATCACGGTGGCGCCACCTAGCTGAATTTAATTTTGCAACATATTCGATTTTCCCACGGGAATGAGTTGTTGTTGAATTGAATTGAATGTTTTTCCGAGTTGTCAAAAAGTAGCCTATGTCACTCTACAGCCACCGAACTATCCCCATACAAAAAATCATGCCATGCCGACGCTCTGTTGCGACGTGAAAGAAGGACAAACAAACAAACACACTTTTGCATTTATAATATTAGTATGGATACGGTCAATATCAAAAAAGAATGTTCACTACTGCAGTTATTGATCATGATATATAAATGCGTAAAGCAGTTTCTAAGTTGGGGAAACATCATTCTATTGAATTATCTATTTGGAATTTGTTGCAGTGGTATAATATAGAATTTCCAGAGATTCGTTTTTCGTAGTGTCATTCGCATCATCCACATCCGTTTTGAACAGCTCGGCAAACTGCACTAATTCACAGTTTATACTGTCTTCCAATAATAGGAGTTTCTTTCAAAATCTCTTCGTTGTAATAGACTTTAACTTTGGTATGCTTTCAGGCGTTTATCTGAAGCAGATAGTAAGTTATGAATAATGACAACAAAAAGGTAAATTTCAAACTGTTTACCAGGTGTTTCTTCTTCAATAAATTCGTCAAGTAAAATGGTCATACTTTCGTCGCCTTGATGTCTGTTGCTGATATTCATGTCAGCCTATCAGATTTTTAGCTTTAGCTTCAATTTCTGAAAATGTGGATCGCATTGTTTGGACATATCCATAAAATTATTCCTAAGGCCTTAGGTTACCAATATTATCTCGCATTGACTTCCATTTCATGCATTTGATGATGAAAGCTGCAAGCGGTGGGCCGACATGAAATACCGCCTCGATCTACTGAGCTCACCAAACTTTTTTTGTCAGTTTAGACTTTCCTTCCAAGTGACTGCGGAACTGTACGTCTCCCGAAATGTCGACGCCAAGGATTCCGATGCCGATTCCGAGGGGAGTGCCCTGAAATCGAGAACATACGTCAAAAGAGTTCTTTTTTATCATAAACGCGCAAACTTGTGTCTTTCGGGGATTAAACTGGACTAGATTTAGTCGCCCCCAATCTGAGACTTTATTCAACCAAAACTCGACTTCAAACACAAACTTGATTCGGCACTCGTTGACGAGTTCCCGAGAAATATTAAAACGGCCGGTATACAAAACATCCCGTGCTGTCGTTTGCATAACAATGTTGTTACTCGTATGCAACATATCATTGATATGCAGAAAGAACAGTGTAGGCAATAGCGCCTTGTGGGATACCAGTATTTATAGGCTTGAAGTCGTAACGTGCACCGTCAATTACGACCTTAATACTCCGATCTGTAAGAAAATTGGTGACCCAATTGCATACCTAATTTCTCCAATTTCTCGGAAAGCCTATAAGGGGGAGCTTCGAAAGAAGCCAAACCCGATTAAAGGGCCAGGGCCTCCTTGGTCTCGACTTCCTCCGCCCATTGGTGAATCAGGTAGACAGGAAAATCATCAGCTGATGACCTCGACGGAAGCCGTATTGATGGTTATTAATCAGTTGGTGTTTTTCAAGATAGCACATGAGCTGGCAGTTAATAATGAATTCCATATTTTGGAGAACAAGGAGGTGATAGCGATAGGCCTGTAGTCGGACCCGTCCAACTACCACCTTTTTAGACATTGAGTGCAATAAGGCTGTTTTCCATAAGCCTGAAACAACGCCTTAAGAGTAAGAGAACCGTAAACGTAACAGACAAAAGGCGCGTAAGAATCGGTGCCAACTTTGGGGCACACGTCTTCAGCACATTGGGGGGATTCCATCAAGATCACTTGTTGACGTCTCATAATCCGATGATAGTTGTATTCGGTTTATATTTTTAAGTAATACAATTACGCTGAAAAGTTTGAATGTTTCCCTTTTTTGCAAAGTACAATTGTTCAGGCGCATGCTCCGACAGTTGGTGCGAATCGATAAGTACTTTCTATTCACAGAAAAGTGTAGTGCTCACTCATAACTACAAGGAAACTCTCGCATTCCTAGTTTACCTATAGTGTTTATAATTATTATTCTTGGAAGGGGCTAGTGGTTAAAATTCGGGGGTTGTTGCAGTGGTATAGTGGCCGTGGCGGAAGGAGAGAATTCTGTGGCGGCGGTTGGCGTCGGCCTCGCCGTGAATAGCAAGGTTTGTAATTCAGCTAAGTTTTACTCATAGAATGAAGTCACGATGAACTTCGATTTAATCTTATTAACTTATAACCTACCATACCTACCTACCAGAAGTTCCATTACAATCAGCTCAGCCGTAGATTAGCCCGGAGAGACAGTTATTTCGATATCATACAGACGGGTATTTCAATTTTATTTATTTGTATAGTCTAGCGATCCGCCTCGGCTCAAACAAAACCATTAATTCTATCAATTTTTAGTTTTATTTTATTAAAAAAAACATCTCGTTACATTAATGTCGGATATAATGTAGCCTAGACGACTCGTGATTTTTTTTATAGGATAGGGTGACAAACGAGCACACAGTCCACCTGGTGGTAACTGGGTGCTGTGGCCCATAGACATCTACATCAATCCTCGATTACGAATCAAAATGCAGATGCGTTGTCACCCGTGAGGACTAAGATGGAATGCCTCGTTTCCAGTAAAAAGGGTCTCCGGTTCTCTACACTCACCGTACGAAACACAGCAGCATTAGGTTACTATTTTACGCTGGTATTCTGTGAGAGCGTGGTCCTTCCCCGGTCGAGCCGACCCATTCCTACTACAACCATACTACTACTGATATCTATCTGTTCCCAAATTACAATTATACTTAGTTGTCAAGTTTCCTTACAATCGGTTTAGCCACTCCGAAGTTTAGCCCGAACAGACACAGACAGACAGACAAACATTTTAAAAATGATTGTTCACGTCTTAACGGGATTTAAATAAACCCCCCCCCCCCCAGCTCAATATAAGGCAGCTTTATTACGATGTTACAGACTCTACAATTTTATTTATATGTACGAATATGTATAGATATGACTTAATGACTTAAGTACTGATGTTTATAAACATTTATCGAAGTCCAGAAACAAAAAATTAAGCACTAGTAATATCTAAATCGTTATATTTACAACATAAAGTGCGACATGATGATTTACATACATTTACCGCATTGCGGTATCGCAACGTCGTCGCAACGTTAGAGAAGTAGGTTAGGGTGACAAACAAACAAAGCCAATGATGGCAAGTGCAAAAAACCTAATTTAAGTTTAATACACTGAGTGTGGCTCTACCACGTACATACATAAGCAGTTGTTAAAAAGTATTGCACTTCTGATGTTAGAAATTATTCTCAAAATTATTTAAATAAAAGAACTCGGTAACAATCCTCACTATCAAAAAACATTCTGGAGGTCATCTACCAAAAATAACAAAGGTGTCAGAGCGGATGCTCAACTTGCATTGTCAGCAACAAAACCGCACATGCATGCAATATGTTCATAATCACACACCGGTGTAACGAGAAGGACCCATAGTACATGAAAAGATAGCTTGATCTCTGCGACAGCTGTCAGTAAAATCACGCCTATGAAGTCCTAAATTTCTTAGTAGTACAGACAGTACCTGTCAATGTCATACTTTATGGGTATGCCGACCTAATTAGAGCATCTCAATCAAAAATCGCAAAAGTGCAATCCATCTTTTATGAACCATAACTACATTATAACACCAAAGTATGAAAACCAACAGCACAACACATTTCAATGTAATACATACAGGGCAGCCTCTCAAAAACACGATCTTCCATGCCTAAAATCAAAGCACCCCAACGGGCATAGAAACGTCACGTCAGTGAGACTCGTAGAACTACCGACTGGTCGCCTGCAGTATTGCGCAGGTACTTTATACTGCTAGAACGCGTTGGAGATTACCTTCTCCTCATTTCTTTGTACTTTCTTTTATTTTTTCCTCCATTCCTAACACATTATCAGTACCATTTTATAATACGTTGTAGAGCCATGTTGCAGTTATATTAGTAGTATAGTTATAGCACCGGGTCGGCTCGACCGGGGAAGTATCACGCTCTCATAGAATACCAGCGTAAAATAGTATCTTAATGCTGCTGTGTTTCGTATGGTGAGTGTAGAGAACCGGAGACCCTTTTTAGTGAAAAAGAGGCATTCCATTTTAGTACTCAAGGGTGACAACTCATCTGTATTTTGATCTGTAATCGAGGTTATATGTAGATTGTAGACGTCTATGGGCCGGCCACAGCAACCACTTACTATTGGGTGTGTGCTCGTTTGTCACCCTGTGCTATAAAAAATCGGTAATTATACTACGGATTATTTTTTAACATTCTGTGAACACAACAAGTGTGTTTAACACTAAGTAAATCAATGTGAGTAGGTATATAAGCATTTGTTGCAATTAGATTTTTTTAATTCAATAAACTTCAAACATGACAAAAAAAATTCTAAGCTATCACGCCTCTACTCGTAGCTGATCTATTAGTTGCATATTATGATAAATAGGATCCTTCTAAGTTTATAATAAAATATGTAAAGTGTGTCATAGAGTTACGAGTATTGTAGTTTATTGCTGGCAAGGCAACATGTTTATTATCTATCTCTAGAAGGTTGAAGGTGTTAAAATAAATTAGCTTAAAAATTTTAACTAGGAAAAACATAATTTTTATTTTTCACGTTCATCCGCTAAGTAACGTTTAATGCTTTTAATAATATTAATGATATTATTATAATGCTTGTGTTTGTAATTCTTTTATAAACAAATATTAAAATAATAATTATTACTTTTCTTGAGCTGTTGAACCGATGCTTGTACTTGTGAACAGCATAAAGGTATAGTAATTAAACAGAAAAGTTGTGTAATTAAAGTGTAATTGATCCAAATCATAATTTATTTTTTTATTTCGATGTCTTTCGGCTGATAATAATCAAAAATCTTTTACTAAAATGCTTATTGTCGCCGCTTTTCAGGTTTATCCAAGTCCGGGGGCGGCGCGGGGCGTCTGGGCGCTTCCGCAGCCGCCCCCATGCAACATGGCGGCCGAAGAGGCTCTGCCACCGTGTTCGCCATTGTCTCCAGATACACCAGCTGCTCCACCTCGAATCACAGCCAATTTTAACCACCTTTCCGATCTTCATCATCTGATTTTCGAGGCTGTGCGATCTGGGTACCTCTTTAAATTAAACAAAATAAAAATACAATAATAATATTGATTATAAGCATTATACCTGATGGTAAGTAGAGGCTGCAGCCCGATTATGAATCAAAATGCAAATGCGTTATCACCCTGAGGGCTAAGATAGATTGCCTCGTTATCAGCAAAAAGGTCACAACTTCACAACACTCACCATCAGCCAGCTCACCTTAGCTCTTTATTTCCGAAATGTATTATTGAAAAGCACTGACCGCCTTCAGTAGCTGGGAGTTGAGATTTCGTCGGACCTGAATTTTGGGTAGTTAAAGGCTAAAGTAGCTGCAAAAAATTTAGGTGTTCTTGCAAAGATGCGACGATAGTAGTTACGTCGGGATAGTTGCTAACACTATATAATAAGTGCATGTCCAGTCATGCGTGGAGTATTGCTGTTAATTAATATCTAGCGACTTAGGGCTCAGTGGAAAGGCGTGCTAAGAGTTTTATTGATGACACCCGTGTAGTCAGAACCAATCTTATTAAGCTTGAACACAGGCGCAAGGTCTTTCTATCCGATTACAATGTGGATATCTTCAAGGCAAGAGTAAAAGCTTTTCTGGCTTTCACTTCGGAACGCTTTATCATATTCAGCAGCACCATCACTTACCATCAAGGGGATAGAAGTCTAGCACTAGTTTATATTATATTAAGATAAAATTTGGTAATTTTCGCACGGAGCAATAAAACGACAGGTTTTTTTACGCAGAAATTCAAATTCAAACAGTATCAATATAGTATATATAGATTAGAGGGCTAACTTAACTTAGCCTTTAATAAGCAAGAAAAAGCTTTCTTGGCACTATGCCAAGAAAGCTTTTTCTTCTATGCAGTGATTGTTTTTTATTTGTAAAAAAATTGTAATAAATAATGTATAAAGTACCTGCGTAATAAGGTCCGTCGGCTAATAAGACCTGAAGTAACGTAAATCGTTTCCATAATAACAGCTCTCGCTCAAGGAGATAATAACAGACTCTCCTATTGCACGATAATGTCTCAACAAGGTTGCAGAGAGGCGCTACCCCGCGTCTTGCCACCAAAGTTGCATCATCTATCATAAGATATTGAACTGATTTTCATTTTTAGTGCAGTGCGTAGCGGCGAGGAAATTTATATTTTTTAGAACTTTAGAACTTAGTGACTACCGCCGCCCATGATCAATCGCAACACCAGGGAATTGCAGGTGCGTTGCCGGCCCTTTAGAAAGGAGTAAGCTCTTTTCTTGAAGGTCCCCAGGTCGTATCTGTCCGGAAAAATCGCCGGTGGTAAACTATTCCACAGAGAGGTCGTACGCGGAAGAAAACTCCTTTTGAAAAGTACAGTGGTGGACCGCCAAGCATCCAGATGATGTGGATGGTATCGGGACGTTTGCCGCGTAGTGCATTCACGAAATTTGGCGGCTGGGATTAATCCGAACAATTCTTCAGAGCACTCCCCATGGTATATGCGAAAGAAAATGCAAAGAGATGCTACATCTCTTCGCAGCGCCAGTGAATCGAGCCGATCGGAGAGCACTCGGTCGTCAACGATTCGAGCCGCTCTGCGCTGGATGCGGTCAAGTGGAAGGAGCTGGTACTGGGGAGCCCCGTCCCAGATATAGGAACAGTATTCCATGTGCGGCCGAACCTGCGCCTTGTAAAGTTGCAGGCGGTGTGCCGGCATGAAATACTGTCCCGCTCTGTTGAGCACGCCAAGCTTTTTAGAGGCCAATTTGGCCTTCTCTTCCAAGTGACCACGAAACTGCACGTCACTCGATATGTTGACGCCGAGGATTCCGATACTGGCTGAAGCAACAAGGGGAGTGCCTTGAGACTGAGGAGATACGACAAAGGGGTTCTTTTTAGCGGTTAACGCGCAAACTTGTGTCTTCTACTTGTGTCTTTTCGACTTCAGACGCAAGTTTGTCCCGGTACTCGGAGTCGTTTGCCCGAGAAATATTGGCACGACCGGAGTAAAGAGCATCACCAGTGCTGTCATCTGCATAGCAGTGAATGTTACGGGTTTACAACATATTATTGATATTCAGAAGAAACAGCGTTGGCGATAGTACGCAGCCTTGTGGAACATCAGCGTTAATGGGCTTGTAAATCGTAATCAATTGCACAATTTCTCGGGAAGCCCATAGGAAGGGAGCTTCGAATAAAGCTCTTTGTGCCAAACCCGATCGAAGTCCTTCGCAATGTCCAAACTAACGGCCAATGCGGAAGGCATTGGACATTGGCATTGGCTTGGACTCTACTGCCTCCGCCCATCTGTGAGTTAGGTAGACCAGAAGATCACCAGCTGACCGATCACGGCGAAAACCGTATTGGCGATCACTAATCAGCTGGTGATCCTCAAGGTACCATATGAGCTGGCAGTTAACAAAAGACTCCATTGTTTTGGAGAACAAGGAGGTGATGGCGATAGGCCGGTAGTTGGACGGGTCTGAGCGATCGCCTTTTTTAGGGACGGGTGGACGAAAGCCGTTTTCCATGATTTTGGGACTACGCCTAGGAGTACCGGAAAAGACGCGTTAAAACCGGTGCCAACTCTGGAGCACACGTACTCAGCACAATTGGGGGGATTCCGTCAGGCCCACTCGACTTGTGAATGTCGAACTGAACGTGAACTGCACTTCCGGCATGGAGCACTTACACCGCGAGATGGTCGGCGGCGTACTCCCACCGTCATCGAGACTCGAGTTGGACGCAAAAAAAGAGCCAAGCAGATCGGCTTTCTCCTTTGCGGCATTGGCCAGTGAGTCGTACTCTCTGTGCAGAGATGGAAGAAATAGCTGACAGAAATTCCCATGGACAGCCTTGGCGAGAGACCAGAATGCACGGGTTCCAGAAGGAAGGCGAACTAGTTTCTCGCCAATTCTGCCTATATGCTCAGACTTTGCCTTGGCAATGACTATTTTGAAGGACCTAGAGGCGGAATTATACTTCTTTTTTAGAGCGCTGGTGTTTACATCCCGGGACGTTGATGCGTCAGCCCAGGCTTGATAGCACTCCTGCTTATAGCATGATGCTATTTTACAGAAGCGACCAAACCATGGCTGAGATTTGCCTCTAATGGGTACCACAGAGGAAGGAATAAAAAGTTCAATACCCTGAAGTACCACATCAGCGACAGAATCCGCAACAACGTTGGGATCGTCCGGAGAGAAGCAAACCCGCCCCCAAGGGTAGGATGCAAAGAAAGACCGCATCCCATCCCAATCGGCTGACCTTAGTTATATATATATATATATATATATATATATATATATATATATATATATATATATATATATACATATACATATATATAGTTCCAAACACGGCGGCAGCCTGCAGAATGCAACTGCGATTTCAGCGTGAGTGGCACGACACTCCGGACAAGACAATGGTCCGAGGAGCCTAAAGGGGTGTCGACGGAAATCTGATATCCGTCCGGGTGAGAGTTCAGCAGAAGGTTCAACAGGGAAGGTGCACGATCCTCCACATCTGGAATCCGCGTAGGCGAAGTAAAAGCAAGCAACGAATCTGTAGCCATTTGCATTACCGCTATGGGACCTATAGACCCGTAGACGCGTGGATGTTCGTCGCTGTCTACGGGTAGCCAAAGGATGGACAGGTCCGAACCTTCAAGTCTGCCGAGGCGTCGAGAACAGATGTCCTCTCTGACGTAAACGCAAACTCCAGCCCGAGGTACAAAGGAGTGTTCCAGTTTGTACCCCGGGTAGGAGAGATACGAGACATCAGCCGGAGAGGACACCTGCGTCTCGGTCAGAAAGAGCAGAGCCGGCCTCGCCGTCTCGAGATGGTAGTGGACGGCGTTTAGGTTAGAGTGAATTTCCCTGATATTGTAGAAACTCACGGACAGCGTGGCAGGGGTCGCCTTGGTTTTGTTGCTCCGTTTGCCCCGAGCAGTTGTAGTCTTGAGCGGAATTTTGCCCCCCCCCCCCCAGAATACGCGGGGCAGCCTGAGCACCCACGCTCAGAAGTGGACAAACATGATCGTGGGTGCTCAGCGAGGGATTCTCCTGCGGTGCTGGTACCCTCCTGGAGTAGTCTATCATCATTTAATTCCGCTACCATGTTGATGGGGGGGTAGGATTTGGGCCTCCGGCCACCTGCACTCACCAGACGAAACGCGGAAGCAGAGCTTTCACTTCACGCCGGTATTCTGTGAGGTCGTGGTACCACCCCGGCTTGAGCCAGCACATACGTGCAACAGCAAAGCTGCCGCGTGGCTCTACCACTGTTGTATATATATTACGTATAGTTTGATTATTTGAGTTCGTTAAAGCAGTAGGCCTTACCATAGTAAAATAAGCTTGCTAGTAATAAAGGTTTTAAATGTTTAATTTTGTTTTTCTTTATAGTGAATGTTATAACTTTTTCTTCATTCTAAACTGTACTAAGCCAACAATTTTTTCTTTGATTATATACTTACAAGTATATAATCAAAGCAATTTTTATTAGTCTGTAAACGAAATTGAATATTTCTACTTTTTTATCCTTAGCTAGACGTTATTATCCGCAGTTGTGTAAATAAATGATTTATGCAAAAATTAAATTACTCATTTGGTCCATTAACCATGACCTCAAGTTATAACTAAAAAGCGCGAAAAAAACCACATCCGAGCTAAGATAGATAACTACCTAATTCAAATTTCAGCGAAGTATCGGAAATCGAAAATCTGGTAGAGAAATTAGGAGTGGAGGTGTTAAGCGCTCGCGACCAGCACGGCTACACACCAGCTCACTGGGCAGCTTTAGATGGAAGCGTTGCTGTTATGCGATACCTGGTGGAGCGCGGAGCCCCTATCGATCTTTCATGTTTAGGGACACAGGTAAAAATTTCAGCTTTATGTACGTTTTAATGTTTTATCAACTTATTTACACGATCACCTCATTGTACATTAGGGGACGTCCATTAATTACGTACGTTCCAATGATGTCGTGAGATATGGACTACCAACCCCCCATCCCCTAAAACCTCACGTGAAATTTTTTAATGTGAATACGGTAATCTGTGCTTGATTGCGCTTATTAAAAAAATATTTGTTTGATTATTTTTATATAATCTGTGGAGTACTCATAACCGCGATAAATATATATTATTGTGTAGGATTTAGCCATATTTTACTTAATTTAACCCAATTTTCTCGAAATTTTATACTATTTCTTGTGAAAAAAAAACGTGGTATTTGCCGAGAGCTCAGATTCATTGGGTCAGTTAGATTGGGTGACCCATGGCACATGCACTAGTTTACACGGTTTTCATACCCCAGCTGTAAGTTATTTTGTTTTCATTTAGGTAGAATTATCCAAAAAAAATAATTAGAAAATTCTGTCACGTCTAGTTTAAGAAATATTTATTAACTTAACTGAAATACATAACTTTGGTATTAACACTAAAATAAAAATTAAAAATTACTAATTTTTGCCTACTTTTTATGGCTATTTGAATTAGTTTCTCTTATAATGGACCAGCAGTAATCCCCTAACATTTTTTCATTCCAAAATCCTTGATTTGCTGCTTCTTCTAAAACCTTTAAATCTTGGTGAAAACATTCCCCTTGTTCGTCACTCATACTTTCTAAGTTTTCAGGGAAAAAACTCGGATGCGAGTGCAGAAAATGAATCTTTAATGACATGTTTACTCCCACCTTTTGAAAATTTTCCAAATAAATTCCTAGAACAATTTTGAATGACTTCCAAGCACATTTTTCATTAAAGACTTTCAAACTGCGAATCTTTCATAATTTTACGGATTTATGGGGCAACAAATATATCCCCTTTCAGCTTTCGCTCTGTAATGTTTGGATCTTTCCAAACTTACAAACACAACACACACTTACAAAACTCTTACAAATTTTTTTCGAAAATACCGGAAAGTATCACTGTTTTTGTCAAGCGCCTTCACAAAATTTTTCATGAGCCCCAATTTGGTGTAAAGGGGGTAGTGATGTTATTGGGATCTACCAACAACTCGTATTTAATGTTCATTTTGCCCGGAATATACTCATTCCTTTCTTCTTTTTTTCTTTTAAAAAAAAGTTACCCCTACACTAGGATTTTCTCCTGTATGGAGTGTACAACGACAAACATCCAGACCCGGAACAATTACTTGTAGGCCATACAAATACTTGTTCCGTGCGGCCATACAAATACTCATTCCGAATAGGCCATTCTTTTCTAACATGATGATGTTGTTTCGCTCTTCTGTCCCACATACAAAGGAAACAACAGTATTTTGTGTAACCACCCTGCAATCCCAATAACACACCATAGCATTGGTGAACAAATGGAAGGCGAACGTTTTCTCCTGATGACTACGGGAATGAAACGATTCTACAGCTTTCGCATAGCACATGAGGCACCCACTTTTTATCTTGATTTGCAACAGGAAATCCAAAATAATGAAGATATGCACTCAAGAATAATGGGTCTTCTTTTTAGGGTTCCGGAGTCAACTAGGAACCCTTATAGTTCCCATCTTCTGTCCGTCTGTCCGTCCTCGCTTAATCTCTGTGACCGTTAGCACTAGAAAGCTGTAATTTGGTACCAATATGTGTATCAATCACGCCGACAAAGTGGTTAAATAAAAATTGGAAAAAAATGTTTTATTAGGGTAGCCCCCCTATGTGTAAAGTGGGAAGTGATTTTTTTTTTTAATTTCAACCCTAACGTGTGATATATTGTTGTAAAGGTATTTAAAAATGAATAGTGGTTTACTAAATCATTTTTTGATAATGTCAATAATTTCGGAAATAATCGCTCCAAAAGTAAAAAACAATGTGTCCCTCCCCCCCCTCTAATTTTTGAACCATAAGTTTAGAAAATATGAAAAAAATCTGAAAAGTAGAACTTTATAAGGACTTTCTAGGAAAATCATTTTGAACTTGGATGGAAACAACAGTACCCACTACCGGTAGCAGTTGCAGGAGCGCGGAGCGCTGCTGGAGCGCGAACATAATGGATACCCACCTTTAAACTCATAAGTGGGAACACTTATTGTGACGGACGGGAAACTACGGAACCCTACACTGAGCGTGGCCCGACACGCTCTTGACCGGTTTTTTGAAAATATAAACTGTCCATAAACATAACAAAAACGATCAGAACTTTGTTTACACTTTCTACTCGACATTTTAAATCAATCCGAGACAAAATAATCGTCCTTTGAAGCGAACGAATAACCACGTCACCACGTTAGGTAGTTAAAAAAAAACATTTGGCTGCAGGAAGAAATTGTGACGTGATAAAATATTACTGCTAACACTTTTTGGTTTAAGAAATGTATACTAACATATTTATATACTTTTGTTTTGGGTATGAAAAAAAAGTTCAATTTTGTAAACTAGTGTAATTAATGGAAGCCCCCTTATAGCATTTAAAATATTATATTACTGGACGTAATGGAGATTTCCCTACTTGGGAGGAGTAAGTGCAATCGAAGATTAGAAAAATAGGGTGCGGCGCTTGGGTGACGAATTGATATTATTCTGGTCTTGGGCGAACTGTTCTGTTCTGGTAATTCTTTTTTTTTGTTATTTTTATAACATGCATAAAATTAGAGATGCGATACCCCTTACGACAGTTTGAAACTTTGAAACTTCACAGTCAATAACAGCTTTGTTTACGGCAAATCACTATCGGTTTAATAAGGAAATAACTTTAATGCGACGCAGTTGTCATAGACCGAATATCATTATTAGTTGATAATTAAAAAAAATTGCTGAATTAAAATGAAACATGCTCCTAATAACATTTCAGGGACCAAGACCTATTCATTGGGCTTGTCGCAAGGGACACGCATCTGTTGTGCAAGTGCTGTTACAGTCTGGTGTCGCAGTAAATGCAGCAGATTTCAAGGGTAAAATTTATTTCCTTCACTATTTGCTTTTCTTGGAAATATAACCAAATTCACCGACATTTTCATAGTGAATCATAAAAATATTTTTTTACGTAATGTTATGTAGTAGGTGCATGGAACTCATCTTAAATATTCATTTGATGCTTTTTTTTAATCCTTATCTGATGATTTTTATTAGAGGCTACCAAAATTTCAAGCTACCGTCGACTTATACCCTTCATGTAAGAAATGAAACTTTACTATCAATTTCAGGACTAACTCCTCTAATGACAGCATGTATGTACGGAAAAACTGCTACGGCGGCATATCTTCTTGGCATGGGGGCAGCTACCAGGCTGTCAGACATCAATGGAGATACCGCCATGCATTGGGCTGCATACAAGGGACATGCGGATTTAGTGCGCTTGTTGATTTACTCAGGCGTTCCCTTGCATTGTACAGATAACTTTGGTTCTACTCCCCTCCATTTGGCTTGCCTATCTGGGAATCTCACTTGTGTCAGACTACTTTGTGAAAAGGTAACCCGTTATGTTTTAATTTATATTGATTGTTGACATAGTTAATTTCACGTATTTATCGCTTGAAAGATTTGACGATCGCTTGTAAAACCCGACTGCACCAGGAGGTGGTTGTGAGGTGTGGGTACCAAAGAAATACTTATACATAGTATTTCTTTAGCACGTTGCGTAGCGTAAGCAGCTTGATGGAGATTAAACAATTACACAATCAAGTTATAATTAATACTTTTAATAAAATTAATATTACAGGTGAAGGCGGAATTAGAACCCCGCGATAAAAATGGAAAGACGCCATTAATGCTCGCGCAAAGTCATCGTCACGCTGAGGTTGTAAAATTGTTACAAAAGGAAATGAAGAGAAAGTCCCACTGGATGCCCCCACTCTCCGAACTCTGGGCTCTGTTATTTGGGGGTGCTGGAGACTCGAAAGGGCCGCTTTTGTTCTTTTTGGTCTCGGTTCTATTGTGGGGATATCCAATGTACATAATTAGGGTAAATATTTCGCTCCTTTTAAAAATAATTTATTATTACAAACTTAAAAATATAATTTAACAAAAACATGTCATATAAATAAAACATATTGATGTCGTCACGTTGTTTTAGTGCATTCCTTTGACCTGGAACACGTTACGTCTTTCTCATTACTTCTTCCTCTACTGGAACGCCATAATGTGGATAAGTTGGGTGATAGCCAACCGACGTGATCCCGGCTATATCCCGCAGAACTCCGAAACATATTACCGCGCTATACGACAGATACCGTACTACGACAAATGGAAGAAGAGAAATGTCATCTTGTCACGTTTGTGTCACACTTGTAGATGCTTGAGACCTCTAAGGTAAGTAATTAATTACACTTCCAAAACAAATGCAAAAATAACAAATATTAGCTTTACAGTTTTTATGATTCATGTAGTTATATTAATGTTGCGCGAATAAGTCGACGTCATGTATCCGGCACTAGCGCCATCTAGTGTCAAGGACGAGAGCGAGGGGAGCTTTCCAGAAAATGACATCACTAATCTTTCAACCGACAGCGCCATCTAGTCTCGGAACGAAGAACTAAGCTTCTAGAAGTTGACTATTCTGGATGTTTCGGTGCTAATTTGTATTTATAGGCGCTGCAAGATGCGATCAGGGAAGTATTGAATTCGGCGAAACAAGCGAAGCTTCGGAACGAAATAAAGTGAATCAGTGTTCTAAGTTTTAATTAGTTTAAAGTGAATTAAAGAGTTAATTTTGGTAATTCAATCGGCAGTTTTTATTGTCACGAACCTCAAGCTCGTAACAATTGGTGTCAGACGTGAGATAAAATCATGCCGATTTTACCTAAGGAGAAAACGGAGGGTGTCCGTACCGGAAGTCAACGCCAGCGGAGACGGACCAAAGAAGATTTGGTGGTGGAACCCCGCAGACGTCCGAGAGCCAGCCGCCGGCTGCGGGCCCGTCAGTAGCTCCTACATCTGCAGCACCTGACTTAGGTGTTCTGATGGTGATATTGCAGGAGCAGGCTCGCCGACAGGAGGAGCAGGCCCGTTGGTTGAAAGAGCAGCAGGAGGAACAGGCTCGCCGACAGGAAGAACAGGCTCGCCGACAGGAGGAACAGGCCCGCCGACAGGAAGAGCAGATGCTCCTCGTGAAGGACATTCACGCTAACTTCGGGAAAGAGATAAGGGAGGTGAAAGATAGGGTTGCTCAACATGACAGCCGCCTGTCGGAAGCTGAAACCCAAATCAAGGAAGCTAAAACCCAAATCGACCAAGTGAACAATCGGGTTGATTACGTGATGGCTGACGTGAAGAAAATAAACTAGGGGACGGAATTACAGCTCCCGTAGTAGCTGCAACACCTGCGCTACGTGGGTTCAAGGTGCCACCGTTCGACGGAACTTCTTCCTGGTCAGCCTACAAAATCCAGTTCGAGGCTGTTATGAAGGCGAACGGCTCGAATAAAAGTCATGCCATGACTGCTCTCACACTAGGCCTGCGCGACCCGGCCTTAACAGTTCTGGAAGCTCTCGGTGAGGAAGTGACTTATGAGCAACTCCTTGAGCCATTGGAGGCGAGATATGGCGACGCTCACCTGGAACACGTCTTTCGTGCGCAGCTTAAAGATCGCGTGCGGCGCATCAATGAAAACCTGCAGCAGTGGGCTCTAGAGGTGGAGAAGCTGGTGCGAAAAGCATACCGGTTTGTACCTGCGCTCATTGAAGGGAACCCATTCATCGACAGGCATCCGCGATCTGGAAGTCAGAGCTGCTGTGAGGCTCGGGCACCACGTGACGCTTAAGGACGCCTTGGCCTATGCACTGGAGGTAGAAGCCGTGTGGCAGGATCATCGTTCCCATCGCATCAGGGAGGTTGCAGCAGCTACAGTTCGCGACCGCAACAAAGGATACAGCCCTAGGTGCTATGGCTGTTGGGAAAAGGGCCATCTTCGATCCAGCTGCCCTAAGCGAACCCTAGAAAGGGAAGTTGAACGATCTCAGGAGGGTAGTGCGGCCAACAGCACCGCCCAGCAGCAGCAGGGAAACGAGTAAAAGCCAGAACTGCCGGGCGGGTGCTGGCTGATGTGAAAAGAGCCCCAAGGATCTCGATCTCACAAACCCATGATGGGAACAGTCTAATTATCAAGGGCGAGGTCAACGGAATGCCGTGTAAACTGACCATAGACACTGGAGCCTCTCATACGGTTGTTAGTTCCCAACTTATAAGTCAGTTCCTTGGAGACTCCGCATACAACCGAGAACGCATTAATTTGGTAACAGCCACTGGTCAGCGTATACCCGTCCGTGAAGAGAAGGAGATGGAGTTGAAGCTAGGCAACGTGATCTACCTGCATAATGTCATCGTGGCTGATATAATGGACGACTGCATCCTAGGCCTAGACTTTATGAGGAATAATTGTTGTGAGATCGACGTTAAGCAAGATGTTTTGAAATGTGGACAGGAGGAACTTTTTATGGAAGGTGTGTTACCAGGGAACGTGTACAGCATTAAGAAGATTGTTCTTCCGCCGAGATCGGAAACGATTGTTCCGATTAGTCTTCCTCGAAACGCTGGGCAAGCTCACCGTTGTGTACTTGTGGAAAGGGTAAACAATGACCTTCCATGGAAAGTAGCTCGAACCTTGGTCAGGACCATTGACATCTCAGGAGTACGTGTGCTGAACCTTTGTGACCGGGAACAGATTATAGAAAAAGGCACACTGGTTGGTACTTGTGAGGAAGTGGATTGGTTACGTCGTTGCCAATATATATCGAGTGGGACCCCCAGCAAGGATTCAGAAACGAGAGTGACCACACTTTTGGAAGACTGTCGCAGTGTTCTCTCCCCGAACGAATTGGTCAAGGCGAAGAAGTTGTTACTCAAGTACTCCGATGTATTCTCATCAAACGATGCTGACATAGGAAATACTGGCTTAGTTCAACACAAAATAAACAAAGGAGAAGAATTGCCTATCCGTCAGCGGCCAAGAAGATTGCCGGTAGCACGTGAAAAGGAAGTGGAAACCATGATTGAGGGAATGGTGAAGGATGGTGTTATTGAACCTTTATCTAGTCCATGGTGTTCACCCGTGGTGCTGGTAAAGAAGAAGGCTGGCAGCATGCGGTTATGTGTTGATTACCGCCGTCTGAACGACGTTACAAAGAAGGACAGCTATCCCTTGCCAAGAATTGATGACACGCTGGACATGCTTACAGGAGTAAAATGGTTTAGCACGCTGGATCTAAAAATTGGCTACTGGCAAGTTGAAATTTACCCTAAGGACAAGGAGAAAACTGCGTTCTCGACGGTAAAGGGTCTGTGGCAATTTAAAGTAATGCCGTTTGGATTGTGTAATGCTCCAGCAACGTTTGAAAGACTGATGGAGCTTGTACTTACCGGGCTAATTGGCGATGCCTGTCTGGTCTACTTGGATGACATCATCATCGTGGGCCGTACGTTTGGGGAACACCTTCAAAACCTGGAACGCGTGCTCATGAAGATTCAGAGTGCCAACCTCAAGTTAAGTCCGAATAAATGTTCACTATTCTAACGGCAAGTCAACTTTTTGGGGTATGTAGTGTCGGAAGAAGTTATCCGCACGGATCCGGAGAAAATCGCCGCTGTCAAGGATTGGCCGGTTCCAAAAGACAAGACGCAGGTTAGAGCATTTTTGGGTTTGTGCTCCTATTATCGGCGATTTGTGAAGAAATTTGCAGATATAGCCAAACCTGATGATGAAAGTTGCAATATCGCATTCCAGGAGCTCAAGGACCGTCTGTGCAAAACACCTATTTTGGGATGGGACTTGGCGGTGTGTTGTCTCAACGGAATGGTGACCAAGAGGTCGTGATAGCGTACTTCAGCAAGACGTTTTCAAAACCGGAAAGGAACTATTGTATTACAAGACGCGAATTGCTAGCTGTGGTAAAGTCGTTGCAGCATTTTAGCAAATATCTTCTGGGGCGGAAATTTCACTTACGAACTGACCATGCTGCACTAAAATGGCTATTACAGTTTAAAAATCCAGAAGGATAACTTGCGAGGTGATTGAACTACTGCAGGAATACGACTTTGAGATCGAACATCGCAGCGGGAAATCTCATGGCAACGCAGATGCATTATCAAGAAGACCTTGTCCTGAAGATTGCAAACATTGTACTAGGCAAGAGAGTAAGGAAGTGGTATCCGTGAGGATGCTCTGGACGGACCACCTCAGCAACGAGTGGAAGGACAGCTTAGGACATGCACAGCAGGAAGATCCGGACATCAAGCCGATTCTGCAATGGATGAAGGCCAGTGGTCCCAAGCCCAAGTGGAGCGACGTCTCAGCGATGAGTTCGACCACTAAAAGCTATTGGGCCCAGTGGGAAAGCTTGCTGCTTCAGGATGGAGTTCTGTGCCGTAAATGGGAAAATGTTCGGGGAGACAGCTGTCATTTGCAAATGGTCGTCCCTAAAGCTAGAGTACCGGATGTTCTACAGCTGTACCATAATGATTGTTCAGGAGGCCATCTGGGAGTTAAACGGACTCTACTGAAGATCCGAGAACGGTTTTACTGGGTCCACTGTCGAAACGATATCGAGGACTGGTGTCGCAAATTTACAAGTTTTGCGGCTGTAAAGGGACCTCAGACTCGTAGTAGAGGTGCATTGAAGTTGTACAATGTTGGTGCACCATGGGAGAGAATAGCCATTGACGTGGCGAGGCCGTTTCCGGAGAGTGAAAGCGGTAACAAGTATTTCATGGTTGTGATGGATTACTTCACTAAGTGGCCAGAAGTCTTCGCCATTCCAAATCCAAGAAGCTTCAACAGTTGCGGATAAGCTAGTTCATGAAGTCTTCTGTCGTTTTGGAGTACCTTTAGAGATTCACAGCGATCAAGGAAGGAATTTTGAGTCTCAAATATTCCAGGAAACTTGCCGAGTTATGGGTACTCATAAAACAAGAACGATTTCTTATCACCCGCAATCTGATGGAATGGTAGAACATTTATTCAGACATTGGAGAGGTACCTAGCAAAAGTTGTAGACAATCGGCAACGAGATTGTGACAAGCACATACAACCGTTTTTGTTGCCATATCGAAGCGCTGTTCACGAAAGTACAGCAGTGACACCAGCTTTCGCAAACTTTGGAAGAGAATTACGGCTGCCTGCAGACCTGATCACCGGGGTACCACCTGATGCCCCACGCAGTATAACCGATTATGCAAATGACTTGCGGAACAAAATGAATGACATTTATGAGCACGTCAGACAATCGGGCCAGCAAATGTCTGAGAAGATGAAAATCCGGTACGACCACAAAATGAACAATAAAGGCTTCGACGAAGGTTCACTAGTGTGGTTGCACAATCTAGTCCGCAGCAAAGGGAAATCTCCTAAGCTTCAAGCTAAATGGGACGGCCCGTACCGGATTGTAACCAGGATTAACGATGTAACCTACCGAATATAGAAAGGCGCAAGAGGGACTCCTAAAATCGTCCATGTGGATCGCTTGGCGCGTTATTATGGGGCCGATAATGCTAGGGATGAGCATGTCTTAGGTGGGGGCAGTGTTGCGCGAATAAGTCGACGTCATGTATCCGACACTAGCGCCATCTAGTGTCAAGGACGAGAGCGAGGGGAGCTTTCCAGAAAACGACATCACTAATCTTTCAACCGACAGCGCCATCTAGTCCCGGAACGAATAACTAAGCTTCTAGAAGTCGACACTCGAACTCTCGGCCCCTTGCGCGTCTTTACTTGAATATTCTGGATGTTTCGGTATTAATTTGTATTTATAGGCGCTACAAGATGCTATCAGGGAAGTATTGAATTCGGCGAAACAAGCGAAGCTTCGGAGCGAAATAAAGTGAATCAGTGTTCTAAGTTTTAATTAGTGTAAAGTAAATTAAAGAGTTAATTTTGGTAATTCAATCGGCAGTTTTTATTGTCACGAACCTCAAGCTCGTAACATTAATAATTAATTAATTGTCATTGAGCTATTATGTACTACGTACTAGAGGCGACACTGCATTCAGGTACTATGTTCCACTCAACTTATGTGCATACACCGCACTTTAATCAATCACTCGCTAGGCGCTTGTAGAGTTGTCACGTGTTGTGTTGATTTAAAAAAAATCTCTTGATAAAAATATGCCATCGTGTGTACTTAGATATTGCACAAATTGGTTGCGCGGAAAACCATTCGTATTTATTTATATTTGACGGTAGGCTTGCCAAATCGTTTATCCCTTTCCAAACGATATCATTCATACCCTCCTATCGACACATCGGGGTGGTGGGGTGGGAGGGGAAAGAAGATGATTCTAGAATATTACGCGATCATCGCAACCGAAGAAATAAAAAGGCACGCGCGGCCGACGCGCACTCTCTTCCCGCCGCGCTCGTCGTTGGAACCACACCGCCTCTCTTCCCGCCGCGCTCGTCGTTGGAACCACACCGCTTAAGACAATAGTGTCCACGTGCACCGCTAGTATATCCGCTTTAGCCTGGACGCAGTCGAACTCCAGGAAACCCGCCTCACCTCGTCTGAGAAATAGTCGCGCACCGCACTCTCTCCCGACGTATCACCGGACAAGAAAGGCTGGACCCCAGAGAGTGTACCCAGAGTGTCTTCCAGAAGTTGCAGCAACTTAGTGCCCAAGTCGCATAGAAGCAACACCCCGGTGAGTGAATATTCCTTACTAGTTACTGCTTGATATAATTGTGTCCGCTCCAATTTATTTTCTCCTAATCAAGCAGGATTCCTTTCATAGATTTGGCAAATAATAGTTCGTTTTAGGGAAGAGCGAGTGCATTGTATGGGAAACCGCGTGCTATAGTCGCCATTTTATGTAAACGTAGAAGCATTACGCATATACAGTCCACTTTGGTTAATATCTCGCGTAATAGGTTTTACGTGGTAGAGCCATGCTGCAGTTATATTAGTAGTATAGTTGTAGCACGAATGGGTCGGCTCGACCGGGGAAGGACCACGCTCTCACAGAATACCAGCGTGAAATAGTAGCTTGATGCGTATGGTGAGTGTAGAGAACCGGAGACACTTTTTACTGGAAACGAGGCATTCCATCTTAGTCCTCACGGGTGACAACGCATCCTGATTTTGATTCGTAATCGAGGATAGATGTAGATTTCTATGAGCCACAGCAGCCACTTACCTTCATATGGACTGTGTGCTTGTTTGTTACCCCATCCTATAAAAAAAAAAAGAGGTTTAGGGTTCGACCGGGGAATTAGACTTCGGTAACCTTAGGCTCGTCGCTCCACCACAAATAATTCAAGAAATGTCAGTAAAAACCAAGGAATAAGTTTTCATCGGTTAATAAGATACTTAATCAATAAAATTATTATATTACTAATAAAACAAATTATTCCTAAGACGCCATCTCGTGTCATGGAATATAGATTATGAAATTAATTTGTTCAGATGCGACATTTCTGTGGGTGGTTAGTATAGGACGAATATATTATTATACACATTTTTTTTATAGAAACATATATAATTTATTATAATTAGGCTAAAGTTTTCATGTTTAAATCTGCTTATTATTCTTTTATTTTATTTTTAGGTTTCCACATCAAAGTCAAGGTGGAATAAATTCGTCCATTTTAACTCTCGCGTGCCCATCATTTATGAACGACTCTTATTCTAATTTAAATAAATATATTTGTAGTTTAAATGTAATGTTAATAGGTTTTGTTAAACATACATTTAGTATGTTTTTTATATTTGACATAGATATCTTTTAAAATATTCAGATAAAACATCATTAAAATGTAATTGTGATATAATATTATATTAAATAAGCAAATATAATATACAAAATAAGTGACAAATTTTTAATATTGTTCTCGATATAATTTACCTATTTAACAATACAATCTACTGTTCATTCTACCTATGTTTATTCTATGTTAATTGTATAAGTAATGTAGATTATAAAGTATTGTTTGAAAACACGGTACCTCTAAAGAAAAAAGGCACCCTTATATTATATATATTATTTTTATTACTAGGTATATGAACACTTTGTTCTCCATCCATTTGTCTGTCAGTCAGAATCCTTTTTCTTTTTGAAGCGATTAGTGTATAATAAATAAGGTGGTACTTCTCCTTCAACGCAATCAAACGATACAATCATCACGGCTCACAAACTCATTTATCAAAACCTATAGGGTGCTTCCCGTTGACCTAGTATCATGAACTTTGGCAAGAATCAAGGTTTCCACATCACAAGTAAAAGTGAAAACCCGAAAATCTTTAATTGGTAGATACATCTCATAAAAAATTACGTTTGCAAAATTACATTTGCAGTTTAAGCATTGACCGTAATGTAGCAGCAGCAGTAGATAACATTTTTTCTATTGCAAAGTTAAGTTTTTCATTCAATCTGACTTACTTTTTCGTTAGATTAATGTTTGATTACTAACTTTTTACCTTTGATTCCCGGGTTGGATGAACTATCTTTATGCATAATTGAATTTATACGGAACCCACAGGGCACGAAATCTTTTTCGCACTTGTATTCAGTTTATTAAAAACATAGCCCCGCTGGATTTTTTACTGGTTCTTCCCAGAACAATCGTTAGTTCCGAAACAGTGCTGTGGGAAAAATCGTAAATAACTTTCAATAAGTCTTTCATATAATATATATTGAATAAAAATTATTCAATTTTTTTTAAATAGAGCTGTAGTCTCTCAGGGGCAGAGCGAGCACTCACTGTCAAATAGTACGCGACGAAAAAATCTAACGTGAGCAACCTGAGTTCTTACATGGTTGGTACCGAGTATCAACCACTGCATTATTTGTGTGTATAGTGTCATCCACAGTTGTTGGTTCCTGGTTTGCAGAGGGAAAGAACTAGTATATTTACAGACTCTGGGGAATTCTATCTGTGCTTAGTGGGTCATAACTGAACTGAACAACTGAAGCCTTTTCGTTTGATGCTGCCATCAGGTGGACTATTAGCGCAATTGTCACTAATTTAAAAATGCCGATTTATTTATATATAAGAAAGGGCCTGGGTGCCAACTTATATTACAATAATAATAAGCACCATGCATATGTCTGCGCCAAGTATTTTGCCACCAACAATTAACAATTACCATAGTGCTGTTACAATAAGATTTTAAAAATAGTACCTACATGTGGTCAACTGTGGAGCCTGTCGGGCACAATAATATTTGGTGAGAGGATGGCGTAATACGATATACTGCGATATCCTATAAAAAATAAAAATACAAATTTATTGTTTTTTTTTGCCGTTCCTAAAGTAGGGTGGATATGATATAAATTTCGACTGATTTTAACTAATTTATTTATTTAATTCAATATTTTTGTTTTTATTTTTGTAAAATATCAGTGCCATAGGCTTTTCTACACGGTTTCCTGACGGTAAGAAATGTCGTCCAGTATATAAAACAGGTGTAACTAATCTTCTTTAATTATTAATATAAACTTTAATTTATTACATTCACAGAGCAAAACACTGTCGCATCTGCAAGCGATGCGTGGCGTACTTCGATCATCACTGCCCATTTATATACAATTGCATTGGCGTGCGGAATCGTATGTGGTTCTTCTTGTTCGTGATGAGCGTCGCTATCAACTGCACCCTATCAATATATTTTGCTTGCTATTGCCTTTTTTTGGAGGGATTTGGACTGCTATATATGCTGGGACTCCTGGAAGCAATTACGTTCTGTGCTCTCGGCTGGATCCTAACCTGTACATCTGTAAGTTTTTCACGACTCTGCATTGTAAATAATTTACGAGTCATTTTCATCAGCCCATAAATATGTTACTGCCATGTTGATAGGACATGACGATTGCAAACCATCATTTGCAGTTGGAACCAAGTTGAAAGATACGACATTTCGAATCTTTTCTTTTTTTTACTTATAAGCCAGTACTTGATTATAATCCCACCTGGTGGTAAGCAATGATTAAACCCTAGATGGAAAAATCGTGAATCGAAAGAACAGGGTTTGGTGCTTATGTTAGATACCTATAATTCTCGGATTCTCGGAGCACACAGTCCACCTGATGGTAAGTGGTTGCTGTGGCCGATAGACTTCTATATCTATCCTCGATTACGAATCAAAATGCAGATGTCACCCGTGAGGACTAAGATGGAGAAATTATGTAGGTACCTACCTATTTTACTTCATTTTCAGTTTTAGCGAAAAATGTACTTGTTGTTCACCAGATATAACCTTCCAAAACATAATAAAATATTAAAACATTAATTTCACTTAAACATTTCTGTACTCCGCAAGTATATTAAAATTATTTAATATTTATGTAATAAAGAAGTTGCATGTTTTTATTTTTATTTATTTTTTGAGTTTACTAAAAATTATTAAGAAAAATTTACAATTGATTGTTCATGTAATTTTACAATTAAAAATCGTTTTACTAAAATATAAATTCATTAATTCAAATTATAATGACATCCAGTGATGTCATTATATACGCCACCGCATGGTGAAATGATAAAACACTCATGTTTACTAGTTTACCTATATATATAATATAGTGACAAAAAATATGCACCTTTTGTATTTAACATTACCACAGAATACAGAATTCCATGTTATTTTTCAGATTCTACATGCGTGTATGAACTTAACGACAAATGAAATGTTTAACTATAAAAGGTACCCTTACTTGAGGGACAAAAGGGGTCGCTACCAAAATCCATTTTCAAGAGGGCCGATTATGAATTTAATCGAATTTTTCGTGTGCCTTCCTGATAAATACGACGAACAGGATTTCTTCTATGAGGAGAGTATATGATACGAAGTACGCTGACAAAGTGACTCAAGCCTGTTCCGGAAACGAAATAAAAACGCCGTCGTTCTGTCCAGACAGGCTCCCCATTCATGTAGAAACGCTAAAACTAAATATGCTGTTTGATTGTGTAATTGCAAAGCATGAAGTATGTACGCTTTATTCTTTTTTCTAAGTTTTAAATTTCAAAATGTAGAGTATTGCACGGGTCGTTGTGATTCTCGTGCAGTGGGGTCAATGTTAAGTTTACACCCTAGGAGAGTTTTTGGACTATATTTGCTTCTATTTTTAATGCCGAGTAGTAATCGCGTAAAAGAAACCACTTACCAATTGCGTCCTGTGAGTTTTTCTGATAACTCCTCAAAATAACTAGGGCCGATGCAGATGCAAAGGTAAAACCTTTTGGTAGCATCATAAACGGAGCGGAGTAAAAGTCTAGTCATAACTATCTTTATTTCAACAAAAAAAAAAAACAATCAAATGGTGTGAAATTGCGCAGATGTAAATTAGCGAATTGATTAGATGTAAATGAAACAAAAAATCAAATTCAGATTTTTATTGTTTACAAACCTTGAGAGCGTTGAGCTACAAATAATGCCGAAAAAATATGTAAATTGGCCTACGGGTTACGGAGGTGATAGATTTCAAAGAATCGTTTTTTTGCGCCATGGGAGCCCTGACTTCCATTTAGCACGATCTTGACATACCTCTCTCGTCCCCTTTACATCCAATAACCTACGCATACATGCTCGTCGGTTGAGGGCACACTTATTTTGGCCCATTTTTAATATATCGCCAATTTGGTTGATAAACTTTCTTAATCCTGGTCACATCATCTTGCATACCACAGCTTTCCCTTATCACAGATTTTCTCACTCTGTTATTATTCCTCAATGACCGCATTTCTACAGCATTTATTCTACTCTCGTGCTTCTTCTGCCACACCCAACTTTCATTACCATACATTAAAGTAGACATTAACACAGCATTGTGAATTGCCATGCGTGCCTTTTTTTGACACATTCTGACAATGCACAATAGAGTGTAGAGGCCCCTTCACTCTATTTTCTGCTTCCTACTACTTCCTTTTTTAACTACGGAACCCTAAGAAGTATTACAATCGGTAATCGTCCATAGCACTATCTGTAGTACTGTTGTTAGAACATATTTATATTCGGTTCTAATGTGATATTGATAATATTCTATACTACAAATAATATTGATTGTTAATTATTCAACAATTAAAAAGTGTTTGTGTAATGTATTGTGTGTAATTTTTAAGTTTTATTTGTAGTAAGTGTGATTTATGGAAGTTCTTAACATATTTCCACGTTTTAGAGGAATATTCATAGCACATAAGGAACCTTAGGGAAAAGATGTGTATGCGGATGTTCCAATCTGTTAGAGAACATATTTTGTTTGTATTTGCGTTCACTGAAAATACAAAAAAAATAGTAAGTACTACAATCGTCTCCAAGCTAATTGCAGCAAGTAATTTTATAATAACCAATTTACAGATTCGATTATTGATCGTAGATCGATTAATGGGAATTTGATAGTATGATCAGACCAAGTATTATACGTGGTAGAGCCATGCTGCAGTTATATTAGTAGTATAGTTGTAGGGTCGGCTCGACCGGGGAAGGACCACGCTCTCACAGAATACCAGCGTGAAATAGTAGCTTAATGCTGCTGTATTTCGTATGGTGAGTGTAGAGAACCGGAGACCCTTTTTACTGGAAACGAGGCATTCCATCTTAGTCCTCACGGGTGACAACGCATCTGCATTTTGATTCGTAATCGAGGATAGATGTAGATGTCTATGGGCCACAGCAACCACTTACCATCAGGTGGACTGTGTGCTAGTTTGTCACCCTATCCCATAAAAAAAAAAAAAGTATGGGTATAATGACACCATCTAAATTCACAATTTTCATTAGATATTTTTATTCTAAAAGTTATAATGAATTGTAGCTGCAGCTATTATTGATTTGATTACTTAATAGTTTTATTCAATACTATCACACCACCCTACCAAAATATAGATGGTAAAAATACAATCTTCTGAAATTAACGTTAAATATCATAGGAATATTATTAGGATTTTGTATAGAAATAAAACAATATTTCTCAGTCTCAGTATAATGTGAATTTATAGCTGACACAAGCAAGTACATTATTGTTATAATGTGATAAAGCGCATAGCTTGTTATTCTGCTCCTAAGGAACATAAAAAGTAAACATTAAACACAATCAAATCAAAGCTTCTACGTTCTAATTACCCTCTTAAATATATCACAATGATTTTATAAGTCGTAAGTGACGACTGTTTTAGAAGGAAAGAATATGTAACTAAAAAAATTATCCAAGCTTGAATATTGTCTTTAGATTCACTAAGCTTCATAAATAAAAATAAATAAGAATTGCCCGCTAAACTATGTCGCATTAAAATATAAAATGTTAAACAAACTAATGATAATTGATCAATATGTAAGCAAATAGGAAAAAATTACTATGGTACAATGATTGTACGCACTTATTTTAAAAAATAAACAAATTGCAATGTTATGTAAGTAGTGTTTCTTGTCACTAACTTGAGTTAATTTTGATTTTGGTCTTATACGTTTATCACTTAAGGTTGATTTTCACTCATCAGATAAAAGTTATCCGTCAAATAAATGATAAGATGACAAGGTATAAAAGTGAAACAATTGAACAATTTTATTTTTAACCTGCAATGTTTATGTTTTATTTTATCCTATGAATAACTTTCATCTGACGATTAAGATATCAGCCCCTAAACTAATAGCTAATATAATGATATGATGCAATCAGTTAAAACAACGACACATATTTTACGACAACATTTAAGTTGGTGCGATTTAGAAGACAGTTTTTTTTATTTAGTTTGACCAGCCTCAATTGCATTTAATAACAACTACATTACGTAATAATATCTGTAGTGAATCTAAGAAAAAAGTAACGCAATGCGAGAAAATATAAAAACAATAACTAAGCTGGTTATAACTTATCAACACAAATAAATTTTAATACTGTCTTTAGGCACCGACACTACTGAACCTTTGTGAAAGCTATCATGACTGAAAATAATAACTAATCTTCTGCATTAAAAAATGTAAGATGGCAAAATGAAGTAAAATGTAACAGAAAACAGAAATATTTTTTTACTCATTCACATAGAATGAAATAAATCAAACTGATTCTAAAATGCTTAACTTGCTAGACATTTAAGTGCTTAGCTTCAAACGTGAATTGAGTATGATAAGTGTCTTTTATACCTTAAACTATATTAATGACATTATATGTCCAGACCTTTAAAAAGATCAAATTTAGTCTACGTTCTTTTACAAAATATTTTGGTAATATTCAGAAAAGTTAGGAGTGATATTGTGCTAAAAAGAACAGTTACTGAAGTTAAACTAATCATCCTTAGGGTTAATTCTAATAGCAGCATCCATCTCGTCCTTGGAGTGATCCTTGTCACCCCAGCCCCAAAGGTGATGTGACCCATCACCAGTGCGCTTTACTCTATTGCGGACTATCTCATCGGATACAGTCTTCAGATCATATGCCCAACCGATTTTAGCGAAGAAGTTGATGAAGTTTGTTGTGAAATTTAGCCTGTTGTTACCGAGTTCGGCGGTTTTGTAATCCCAGGGGAATGTATGGTGGTAGTTGTGGAAGCCCTCGCCGAGTGCGAAAATGGAAACGGATATGTTTTCGGAGGGCTCAATGCTCTTATCGTAGGGCTTGTCGCCCCATTTGTGTGCAGCAGAGTTCACCAGCCAAGTCACGTTGAGTATGAAGGCGTAACGGAATAGCGCTGCGACAAAAAACGCGTTGATCCAGCTCTCGCCCCAGCAGTAAACAGGGATCACTGTAGGCAGGATGAAGCACCCGATCGGCATCAATAGCAAATAGTACCTGGAAAGGACTCATTTATGTTAAATATGAAATTTATTGCGACATTTTGATTTCTTTGGCTTAGTCAGAATGTCCTCGCGTGGATTTCACGTACAGATTCTATATCGTGCGTTTCTACTAACTAAATGGCAATCTACTTACGAGATGAATAAATAAATATCAATGAATTCAGTGATTTTTGTTAAACCCAATAACAATTTGACACATAGACACAGATGATATATTACTTATGAAACTTTTTGCAAACCAGATCATTGATAATTTATTATGTTCATTAACAGTTTATTAGTTTTAGGTAAATTATTAAACAGGAATGGCAGTGCCGTGTAGTGGCGGGATAAGAAAACCCATTAACCATATCACCCCGTGGGTGTCGTAAGAGGCGATAGAAGGAAATGAAACGAAACAGAAGATTGACAGCAGCGACTTCCTGTTAGCAACCTAAAATAACAAAACTGCGGTTACCACAACCAACTTGCCAAGCGTGGCAAATATGGTAAATATTCCCCATGAGAAACAACTACACGGAAGAAACCTCAAGAATGCCTCAGCCTGTACTTATACTGGTTCTCTTACTTAAGGTAAGACTTGTAGCACTTGGTCTTGCTAACATTGATAACTAATCCTTTATCGTGAGACCATTGTGTTAATATATTAAGTTCTTCTTGCAGAATGCGGCCACTTTCGTTAATATTTTCGCCTGCTGCAACGAGGCACGTATTGTCGGCATACTGGTATATTTCGCAATGCCTGATGATGTTTGCCAGACTATTAACATAGGTGATGTAATGCAATGGCCCAATTACAGAGCCTTGTGCAGTGCCTACCAAAGAGTTAACATAATAACTAATGGCATCACCCACTTTTACCGCATATTTTCTGTCATTAAGGTAATCTCTGCCAAAAGGTCCTCTGATAACACTATCATTAAGACTGTCTATTAGCTTGTTATGATTAAGTGTATTAAACGCTTTAGTATAGTCTACAAAGACTACCAAGACGTGTCTTTTATTATCTAAATGTTTATAAACGCTGTTAGTGAAGGTCGATAACAGTTGGGTGGTATTTTTCTTTGGTTGAAAGCTTATATATATTATATACTTACTATAATAAACTATAACCCTTTTTTAATAAAGCTGACTTAACTTCACCTACCCTTCAGATCAGAAAACAACAGTACAAGCTTATTACATGACGGCGGTAATAGATGTGGTACCTCTCTAGACGGACACAAAACGAGTCCTAAACTATAGTAGTAACTAGGTAGTAGGTAAATTAATCCATTCATCACATAACCTTGAATCCCCAGACATTTGTAGGTGTATGCAATGTAAAAAATTATTTATTTAAATATATACGATACAAAAAACCGGCCGTGTAGTGGCGGGCCACTACCCCATATGCCGTAAGACGCCACAGATGGAAACTGGGGCACGGGATGAGCAGCGGCATATTTCTTATAACAGCAAAATAACAATAAATAAACTAGTTGCCAACCCGCTCGCCAAATGTGGCAAGTATGGCCATACATATACCCCCGTGGCGAAAGTTACAAAGAGACGGCCCCCAGTCTCCGGGGGCCCCGCTATTCCTGGCTACTGTGGCAACCATGGTTACGGCGTGGCCAGGGGTGCTAAGAATCTATGGTAGAGCTTTTTTTAACAGGAGAGGGTGACAAAAGAGCACACAGTCCACCTGATAGTAAGCGGTTGCTGTGGCCCATAAATCTACAAATATCTTCGATTGCGAATCAAAATGCAGATGCTTTGTCACCCGTGAGGACTAAGATGGAATGCCTCGTTTCCAGTAAAAAGCATACGAAACACAGCAGTATTTAGCTACATTTTACGCTGGTATTCTGTAAAAGCGTAGTCCTTCCCCGGTCGAGCCGACCTATTCATGCTACAACTATGCTACTAATATAACTGCAGCATGGCTCTACCACATGTAAAGCTTGGAAGAAGCGATAGACAAGTTGCGCTGAGATATTACAGGATTATCGGAGGTCTGAAGAGAGGAGGAGGACAGGTTAATCCGCGAATCCGGCCACTTGTTCCATCACCGAGAGGGCGCCCATCTGTCTCAAGGAGGTGTCGGATTTAACGTCCACAAGTCTCTCTTTTACAACGTTGTAAAGATTGAGAATGTGTTGCGTACCTTATACTCAGAATCAACAAACGATATTTGTTGAAGGACATAAAATGTACGCACCAACCTCGGCACATCCCGATGAGGAGTTGGAGAAAATGTATGAGGATATTTCTAGAGCCATGCATTTCTCCAAAATCAACTATCCGGTGTTAATGGGAGACAGCAACGCAAAACTAGGAACGCAAACGAAAACGCAAAACTAGAGAAAACGCTGAGCTGAAGGTAGGGAAATTCAGAATAAGGCAACGGAACCCAATGGGTCAGCAGATGACCGACTTCATGGGGAAAGAGGGACTCTTTATACACATAAACTTACATTAACATCTACTCTAACATATAGAGTTTATAAGCCTCCAGAAGCGGCCACACAGAAAGTGGACCTGGTCGAATCCCGAAGATTCGACAAAAATGAGATTGACTTCATTATTACGACCAGACCGCAACTGTCAGTGATGTCCAGTGATCACGAAGGTAAAAATGGTAAAGATCACCAAATAGTGAGAGGGACACTAAATCTAAACGATAAGTTAGAGAGGTCACGTCTAATGAAGTCAACGCTACATCACCCTTGTTTTCTAATCCTAAGTCCCGAAAAGTTTCAGCTCGAGTTACAAAACGTTTTTAGTGCTTAGAAGACTGCAATGCAGTGGTCGATATGAATGACAAACAAGCTTGTGGAAACTATCCATGCGGTCCAAGAAGATAAGTTTTGCAAGACCCGTCGCAAAAGAACACAAAAACTTTCTGATAGCACTCTTAATGTCATGGCTGTTAGACGGGAAATGAAACTGCAGTCTAATCGTCTCGCACGCAGACTCGACGACTTCCAGTCTCTCGAACAAGCCGGTTTCCACAATGGCTTCAGCACCATAAACTACATACTTACCCTTCGGTAAATTGTACAGAAGACCGAATAGTACAATCTGCCACTTTGTCTTGCGTGTGTGGACTATGATTCCGTCCTTTGATTCCGTCGAAATATGTGCGGTGCTGCAGTCCCTTCAGCGGTGCTAAGTTGACAGCCAGTATATCGATGTACTGAAGTGTTTGTACAGTAGGGCTACGATGGCTATCCAAGTAAAGAATCAGAGTATGAAACCTATCCAACTGCAGAGAGGTGGTGTACGGCAGGGTGAAGTTACATCTCCGAAATTATTCACCGCTGTATTGTAAAGGACGTTTTCAAGCTACTGGACCGGAATTGATACGGTATTAACACCAATGACAAGTACATCACTCACCTTCGATTTACCGACGATATAGTCCATGGCAGAATCGCTGGAGAACCTGAGAACTATGCTCAATGACCTCAATATTGCCTTTTAACGGATAGGTCTTAAGATGAACATGGACAAAACAAAGACCATCTGTAACGTCCACGTCACACATATGGCATTAGTTGTTGGGAGTACTAAGCTCGAAGTTGTTGACGAGTACGTTTACCTGGGACAAATAGATCGACTAGGTAAGTCCAACTTCGACTGAGAGGTCAATCAACGGATTCAATTCGGCTGGGCAGCGTTCAGAAGATTACGACACATCTCGTCAGGTATACCTCAGAACTTAAAAACGAGATTGTACAACCAGTACGTGTTGCCAGTGATCACTGCTGGCCGTATGAGGAAGCTCAAGGCAGCTCAGCAAGCTATGGATAGGGCTATGCTCGGGGTTTCTGTGCGTGATAAACTTAGAAAGTGGTTATTCGCAATAGAACCAAAGTAACCGAGATAGCCCAACCGATTAGCAAGCTGAATTGGCAATGCCGGCCATATAACTCGAAGACCCGACAACCGATGTGGAATACCTATCTTTACGTGAAGTGTAGGGCGGCCCTCCACTAGATGGAGTAACGACCTGGTAAGACATGCCACGCAGGAAGTCCAGAACCGTGATTTGTGGCATTCCTTGGGGGAGGCCTAAGTTCAGCAGTGTACTTGTGAAAGGCAGTTATGATAGTGATGATGATAGGGAAAAAATCCAACTGATCCGTGAGGTTCATGTAATCCTTTTCAGAGAATAAGTAAAAAAACACCCCGCGAAAAATAAGATATATTTTATTTAATGGGGAAACTTACATGGCCAATACATGCGGCGCGGGCGGCCGGTGCGTGACAATGTCTAGAGGTCACGACTTCGACCTCTTTTACCCCTGGCTTCAGCAATCACTTTAAGGTTTGTTCGTTAGGGACAATTATAAAAAAACCGCAAACGCTGCATAATTGCCAAGTGACTACTAATTAATATTGTCGCCGGCCTAGTGTCGCCAGAATTCAAACATTTGCTCCAATTTTAAAAATTCGCAAATTGTGGTGGAGGTAAACATGCATTTTAAATGCAATAACATTTATAATGAGATGTCATTGCGGTATTATACTATATGCGCCCTTTTCTGATCGGGTTGTTTTTTTCAAAATATTTTTTAAACATTTCATTTAAGTGATACAAGTTTATAAATATAGTACTTATTAGATAGTTTTTACATTTGACCTCCATGTTCTTCACCATCCCGTAAGCCCATTAATGGGCATTGGCCACTCCCATTGTACGGAGAATAAGGCGCCTAAGTATTTCTCGCCTTACATAAATATTTATGGTTATATATACGGAATTTATCAAGATTTAATATCATTTTGAGAAACCCAAAATCGCATGGTCCCGAGAACTGTACTCATTTGGTTTTATTTTCATACAATCTAAAAGTAGTTTCACTTTCAGACAAAAAGAGGGCAAAAAATAAGTCCAAACCTTTTAGCAAATTTTAATAAATATTGGCAGTTTTTATATAGCAGTACTTACTTCTTTTGGAATCGAAGTATCGGGTCGGCGTACAAATCGCTGATGTCGAGCCCCTTGCCCTTTCTCTTCAGCTCGGGATGTTTGCGCACTAGAAGCCATCCGATGTGCGAGAAGAAAAAGCCACGTGTTGCATTGTGCGGGTCAGCATCAGTTTCAGAGTATTTGTGGTGCATGCGGTGATCCCGTGCCCAGTCTATCGCGGAATCCTGTAACAATAAAATCGATACGAACATTTTTTATTTTTTTTTAATACACTAGTATTTTCCCATATATCGCGTGGAAATTTTACATAAATAATTGCACATAGACAAACATCCAGATATACGTGGTAGAGCCATGCTGCAGTTATGTAAGTAGTATCCATCTTAGTCCTCACGGGTGACAACGCATTAGATGTAGATGTCTATGGGCCACAGCAACCACTTACCATCAGATGAACTGTGTGCTCGTTTGTCACCCTATCTTATAAAAAAAGACCCAGAACAATTATTTATTACCTCACAATCACTTGTTCAGTACGGAATTCGAACCCGCGGCCCCGCAGAGTCGCAGCCAAAATGCAGTTACTGTGCTACCGAGTCGTCAAAATATTAGACATGAACGTAGTTGCGTTGCGAAATAATGTTAATGTTCACGGACACGTTTTAAACAGTTACATTCTCATCAACATTGATGCGAATTAATATGGGCAGAACAACATAATATGCGATAAGGAAATTATATACAAAAGAGAAATTGTAATATATTCGTTCGCGGAATGTAGGCAATGAACTATGTAATTATACTCAATTTCTTTTCAATATAATTTCTCTTGGACTGATTAATTTGCCTTAAAAATCGATTTGATGGGGTCACCATTGGTCTCTCACACTTTTTCTCACGAAAACCTTTTTCGGCTTTTGTAATTATATAATAATCGCTAAGGACAAATTCTGGGTTCTAGGGTGGAAGTTCACCTCACAACCTTCAACGCCCTTCAAACTTTCAAATATTCCAACTCCAAAAATTCGTATTCTCCTGTTTTGAAAACACCTTCTTCTTTATAATCCATTAACTACTACTGAAGTCCACATACGCTGTGCTAAATATATTCGCTCCCTGGAGCTTACAGCTGCCGACGCCTGCTCTATCTACTCTACCGAGGCAGTGTTAATAAACAGGAAAATAATGTGTTAATAAAATGAAACATAATGACAAAATAAAACATAAAAATTATTTTAACCTTCCTTTTTTGATTAATTAAATTAATTGCGACAAGGTGTGCGAATTTCCAATGGCGGAACCATTACTGCGAATGTGCGAATTTTCTCTTACAACTTGCAAGAGTGAGAATATATCCCTGAGGTACCGATAACTGCCTTAATTATCTTTTTAATTTTTTTGACATCTTTAAATTATTTTTTTTTTCAAAAGATAAGATTGTATTATTAAAATAATGGAAGCTGTTTGTGGAATTGTGTAATAGGTTACAACGGAGGTAATTTAAAAAGCAAAGAACGATTTACACGTGCAATACAAGACGAGGATGACTCAAGCGAATGGTTAAATCTGCGCTGCGGTCGATTACGTCGTTAACGTCAATAAAGCATTACTATGCATGAAACTACAACTAACATAAAGCTAAACTACGTATCACATACATGATATGATACGTAGTTTAGCATTATAGTATTAAAGTAATAATATGAACGCTTCTGGGGACAGCAATAATACCTGAACATTTTATATTTTTAGAGAAATAATGGTGACAAACGAGAACACAGTCTACCTGATGATAAGTGTAAGAATTGGGTGGAATTTATCATACATCATGGTATGCTTCATCATAACAACATATACAACGATTGCCGTGTAGTGACGGTTGAGAATATCCACTACCCCATATCTTCCCGTGGGTGTCGTAAGAGGCGACAGAGGGACACAGAAAGGAGATGGGCAGCAGCATCTTCCTAATAACAACAATAACATAATAAAAAACTGCGGTTGCCAACCCGCTCGCCAAGCGTGGCAACTATGGCAAATATCCCCCCATGAGCAACGACGCAAATAAACGGCCCCCAGTCCCCGGCGGCCCCGCTATTCCTGGCTACGGTGGCGACCATGGTAACGGCGGGGCAGGGGGTGCTAAAAAATCACCGGTGGAGGTTCGGTTGCCACCTACGACGACTGGACCTGGCAACGTATAACGCACGCACCCTGAGGACTGACGAGAAGATACTGGAGCTGGAAGAAGAGGTAGACAAGTTGCGCTGGCATATTATTGGATTATCTGAGGTCCGAAGAGAGGGGGAGGACACGGTAATCCTCGAGTCCGGCAACTTGTTCTAATCACCGGGAGGGCGACCATCTGTCCCAAGGAGGTGTCGGACTTATCGTCCACAAGTCTCTCGTCAACAACGTTGTAAAATTGGGAGTGTGTCGACGAGGGTCGCGTACCTGATACTCAGAATCACCAAACGGCGTTCGCTGAAGGTCATACAGGTCTACGCACCAACCTCGGCACATCCCGATGAGGAGGTGGAGGAAATGTATGAGGATATTTCTAGAGCCATGCATTCCTCCAAAACCCACTACGCGGTGTTGATGAAGAACTTCAACGCAAAACTAGGCACAAGAGAAGCCGGTGAGCTGAAGTTAGGGAAATTTGGAGTAGGGCAACGGAACCGTAGAGGCCAGCAGCTGGCTGACTTTATGGAGAAAGAGGGACTCTTTATGATGAACTCTTTCTTCAGAAGCGGCCCCACAGGAAGTGGACCTGGTCGAGCCCCGACGGTTCGACAAAAAATGAGATTGACTTCATTATGACGACCAGACGCCAAGTCACTGAGACATCAGTGATCGCAAGGGTGAAAACCGGCAGCGATCACCGAATGGTTAGAGGCACACTGAACCTAAACGTTAAGTTGGAGAGGTCTCGTCTAATGAAGTCAACGCTCCGTCCACCTCGTTCTCTAATCCAGAATTCCGAGACTTTACAGCTCGAGTTACGTAACCGCTTCCAGTGCCTAGAAGATTGCAATGCAGTGGACGATATGAATTGACAAGCTCGTGGAAACTGTCCATACGGTCGGTGCTAAGTTCTGCAAGACCCGCCGCAGAAGAACACAAAAACTCACCGATCACACTCTTAATCTCATGGCTGTTAGACGGGAGATGAGGCTGCAATCGTCAACAGATTTGACAGCATACAGGCAACTGAACAGACAGATCTCCAAATGCATGCGGCGAGACTTACACAACTTTAATACTGCTCGTATTAAAGAAGCGATCGAGCGGAACCAGGGCTCCAAAGTCTTTGCCAGAGATCTGTCTGCCAGAAAGAGCCAACTGTCAAAGCTGAAGACTGAGTGTGGCAGCATCGTTTCCGGGACACCTGAGATTTTGAGTGAGATTGAGAGGTTCTATGGGCAGCTGTACACATCATCGTTGGAGCCACACACAAGTGTGAGTAACGATCCAAGAGCAAGTCTTACCCGATACTATTCCGATGATATCCCGGACGTCAGTCTGAGCGAGATTAGAATGGCTCTCCAGCACCTTAAAAACGGCAGGGCCCCAGGCGAGGATGGAATTACAGCGGAGCTTCTGAAAGCGGGTGGAACACCGGTACTTGAAGTCCCTCAGAAGCTCTTCAATTCCGTCCTCCATGGTGGCACTACTCCGGAGGCAGAAGTGCGGTGGTCTTGTTCTTTAAGAAAGGCGACAACGCTCTCTTGAAGAACTACAGACCGATTTCCCTTCTGAGCCGCGTCTAAGTACTGTTTTCGAGAGTCATTACGAATCGTCTCGCACGCAGACTCGACGACTTCCAGCCTCCCGAACAAGCCGGTTTCCGAAAAGGCTTCCGTATCATAGACCACATACATACCCTGTGGCAGATTGTATAGAAGACCGAAGAGTACAATTTGCCACTTTGCCTGGCGTATGTGGACTATGAGAAAGCCTTTGATTCCGTCGAAATTTGGGCGGTGCTACAGTACCTTCAGCGGTGCCAAGTTGACTGTCGGTACATCGAAGTGCTGAAGTGTTTGGTACAGTAGGGCTACGATAGCTATCCGAGTACAGAACCAGAGTTCGAAACCTATCCAACTGCAGAGAGGTGTAAGACAGGGCGACGTTATATCCCCGAAACTCTTCACCGCTGCGTTGGAAGACGTTTTTAAGCTACTGGACTGGAAAGGATACGGTATTAACAACAATGGCGAGTACATCACTCAACTTCGATTTGCCGACGATATAGTCCTTATGGCAGAATCGCTGGAGGACCTTAGCACTAGGCTCAATGACCTCAATGGTGTCTCCCAACGGATAGGTCTTAAGATGAACATGGACAAAACAAAGATCATGTATTAAACATATCCATGTCCATGTCACACCTATGCCGGTAGTTTGTTGGGAGCACTATGCTCGAAGTTGTTGACGAGTACGTTTACCTGGGACAAATAGTCCGACTAGGTAAGTCCAACTTCGACCGAGAGGTCAATCGACGGATTCAACTCGGCTGGGCAGCGTTCGGGAAATTACGACACATCTTCTCGTCAGGTATACCTCAATCTCTGAAAACTAAATTGTACAACCAGTGCGTGTTGCCAGTGATGACTTACGGATCTGAGACATGGTCCTTCACTTTTGGCCGTATGAGGACGCTCAAGGTCGCTCAGCGAGCTATGGAGAGGGCTATGCTCGGAGTTTCTCTGCGTGATAGACTCAGAAATGAGGATATCCGCAGTAAAACCAGAGTGACCGACATAGCCCAACGGATTAGTAAGCTGAAGTGGCTATGGGCCGGCCATATAGCTCGAAGAACCCATAACCGATGGGGAAGAAAGGTTCTCGAGTGGCAGCCTCGTACCGGTAGGCGTAGTGTAGGGCGCCCCCCACTAGATGGAGTGACGACCTGGTAAGACATGCAGGAAGTCGGTGGATGCAGGTGGCTCAGGACCGTGCTTTGTGGCATTACTTAAGGGAGGCCTATGTTCAGCAGTGGACTTGTGAAGGGCTGTAATGATGATGATGATGATACAACTTTTGATGTGCTGGTTTGCGATAAAACATTATGTGTTTCATTGATTTTTAGACTTGTTTTATACAGGACACAAATGATGATTAATTTCCGGACAACTGCGTAGGCTATTGGTCAGAATACCTGACTAATACATCGTAGGTCGCATCCGGAATCAATATTTGTGCAGAATAGAGAAACTGGTTTTTGGTCTGGCCGTGTTATACACCCTCCGAGCACACCCAAGCGAAAAAGATTATTTTAGATTATAACTATGAATAAGGACATAAGGGGAGTTTTGCTTGTACTTTTCTAACTTCCAAACAATTTATAGTTCAGACCGGTCTGGCCGTGTTATACACCCTCCGATTTTATCGCATCAGCCCAAGCTGGTATATTATGTGATATACATGATTTATTATTTTTTTAGATTATTTTAGATTATAACTATGAATAAGGACATAAGGGGAGTTTTGCTTGTACTTTTCTAACTTCCAAACAATTTATAGTTCAGACAACTGACTTCGGTAGAATAGTATTCAAGCACTAGCAACAGTAAGTAAAATAATTATAACGGACGACCATTCTTGTCCATTTATTCCGATTTGCCAACAAAATGTAATGTAAATATGTAAAGTGTTGCTCGAAGATGAGATTATATCGGTAGAAGTTCACAAGTGTAGTTTTTGACGAAAAAGCGTATGATGACGATGTTGTTGGAAAACATGGACTTATTGAAACTGAAACAACAGCTTTTATGGTCGAATCTGGACTATATTTTTAGTTCTTCGACTTAGACGACATCGTCATCAATTAATGTAGATCGGCAAGGTGATGATAATGTTTTAATAAAAATCGAAAATTTTATACACATTTTACCTTTTCGGTAGGTTAATTGTGAAAAGGTAAATATATATATTTCACAATTAACCTACCGAAAATACCGGATATATTTTCAATATAGCGATAAGGTATAAGTGGATGTAAGTATTGTTATATCGGTTCAGCGAACCTTATCAAACGGTATAACGTAATGCAAAATGTAAATTATTGTTCCAGGCTGACAATATTAAGTATGAAGAAACATGAAAATTGCAAATTATTATATTAACCAAATTATTTCAAATATATTGCGAATATAATTATACGTGGCAGAGCCACGCTGTAGCTATATTATAGTTGTAGCACGAATGGGTCGGCTCGACCGGGGCAGGACTACGCTCTCACACAATACCAGCGTAAAATAGCGTTTCGTATGGTGAGTGTAGAGAACCGGAGACCGTTTTTACTGGTTACGAGACATTCCATCATAGTCCTCAGGGGTGACAACGTATCTGCATTTTGATCCTCAACCGCAAATAGATGTAGATGTCTATAGGCCACAGTTACCCCTTACCATCAGGTAGACTTTTTTTAGCCTTTTTGTTACCCTTATTCTATAAAAACGAATTGTTATGCAGGTACTTGAAATTAAACTAAATAAAAGTAGCGTAGGGTTCGGGAGCAAAACCAGATCGTACTCAAAGTTCCTGTACCTATTTAAATTCAAATCATGCACACACCAGTCAGCTCAACGCCACGTCAAAGTCAAGTCGCTGGTTGCGACTGTCCCAAAAAATATAGTTCAGCAGAAATTGTAGGAAATCGGACCCCCAAGTCAGACACGTCACAACCGGCGCGATTGAGTATGATGTATTGTATTCATAACGTTGACGCGACTGATCGGTAAATTAACGGTGACATGAATGGGGCTAAACAAATTCCTGTAAAATTTTAAATGTGTTAAATTCAATATAAACGATACGAGCGAGATACGTTATACGCGAGATAATTTATATCATAGAATACTATAATATATACACAATTGAACGGGGGAGTGGGCGGAGCCCGTGTAGCCACTAAAATGTCACTAACATGTCAATTCACACGTATAAATGTCAACACAAGATGTGTTTTGACGTTACAATCGTTTCAAATTTCGCATGCAAATTATATTATGTATTAAAATTTAAACGATTTTTTAATGATGATTTTGAACATTAATCAAAAGTCTAAAATGTGTAAATTTACTCAGTCTGTCAATACAGCGAATCGGGTTTGTAGTAGTGATAATACGACGTAATTGCTTGTATGTGTGCTCCCGGAGACGCGGAATCTCGTACAAAATAAGTTTGACAGCCATTCTATTGTGTATTATAGTATTCTATGGTTTATATAATAGGTACATTCATACGAAAGAGAAAGAGAGGATAGAACATTCTCAAATCCGGTTGGTTTTAATATTCCCCCTCTTTCAATGCCAAATTCGTGAACAATCGCAATTAACACAACGTTCCGAAGGAAAAGTCTATGAATATGGACATAAGGGTGAGTCTTGCTTGTACTTTTCTAACTTCCACGCAATTTATTGTTCAGACAACTGATTTAAGTAGAATAGTATTCCAGCACTAGCAACAATACGTAAAAAAATTCTAACGGAAGACCATTCTTGTCCATTATTCCGATTTGATAACAAAATGTAATGTAATTATGTAAAGTGTTGCTCGAAGATGAGATTATATCGGTAGAAGTTCACAAGTCTAGTTTTGGACGAAAAAGCGTATGATGGCGGTATTGTTGGAAAACATGGACTTATTGAAATTGAAACAACAGCTTTTATGGTCAAATCTGGACTATTTTACATATCAAACCTGTGGCCTAGAGACTGTAGAGATGTATATGTCGACTGTCAGACTGTAGGATTTACATGGTTCATGCATCCCGGGAATTTAGGTAAGGTAAGCACCGAACATTGCATTAATTTGAAGGATAAAATTTGCAGTGAAAGAAATATCCCCATATCGTACACAGTCTACATGACGGTCGATGCTATTAATGCATAATGCAAGTTTTTAATAGACAAAAATTATACATTTTATGCGATATAATATAACTATAAATTTACGATTTTCGGACTTTTTTTACTTCACTTTTGATATGAGACCTTGCTACTTGCCAAATTTCATGATTCAAATTACAAATAGGTCATCAGGAATGACCCAATAGATTTCAGAGAGTTTGAGAGTATCAATATAGATAAATGGCCGCATCATTTGATTACGTTGACTAATTCTGAATTTGAATTCTTATCTCAAAGGGAACGTGGTTTGCTTTTTATTTCAACTTGATGGCTCCAAATGTTCCGGAGAAAAAGTCTTGACAGACACACAGACAGCCAGACGGACGGACAACAAAGTGATCCTATAAGGGTTTCGTTTTTTTTCTTTTGAGGTATGAAGCCTTAAAAATGACTAAAAGAATAAGATTTTCCTGTGATATAGAACTTATATCAGCGTGGGACCAAGAATGTCTTATCTCTCAGAGGGAATGAGAAAGAATGTCTCCAAATCAATATATAATATCCAAATAATGGCCGTGTAGGACAAAATAACGTAATTTATGTTATTATCATACGTAGGGTGCTCGACCTTCATGGAATTATATTATTATACAATAACACGCGTTGTTAAAAAATTCTGGTCATCAAAATATCTAAATAACAGGAGTATTCCTTAAATTATAAAAAAAAACTAGAGTACCTGAATAGATTTATATCATAGCACGCGGATAACTTACTTATTAAAGATAGGGCGGACGTGGACTAGTAGGTGTCTTATACTTCATGGAATAGTAATAACATGCGCCGGTATAAAACATCTGGTCATTTAAATGTCAGACATTTTTTAAAATATTAAAGATGTAGAATATCGAAATCGATTATCTATCGACAGCGTTTTAATAAAACTATTACGAAATTACGTTTTGTTATAATCGGTCAAAATAAGAGCAAACCAGTTTTATAACAAAAATAAAAGTAAAAGTAGTAATAATAATGCCCTCTAGACCGAATTCTGGTTCACGGCGGTCAGCCTCAACGGAGACTAATCATCTTCGTAGAACAGGATTTATAATACCCATAGAACGCAAGTACAGGTGCACTCTCTATTTCCTCACTCTCATCGTCCGATGGGACGGTAAACCGACGCGACCGAATAGAGATCAGGCGCAGTACCAACGGTTTACGTGCTTTCCGAGGCACGGGGGTGAGACAACGACAACTTCCTGACTGCAGGCAGCTACTGAGAATTTCTCGACGGAAAAACTTAATAACTCATTTTTGGGCCCAACCCGGGATACGAACCCAGGACCTCATCATCAGAAGTCGCGTTTACAACCGCTAGACCACCCACGAGGCAGTCTTAAAGTAGTATACACATATTAGTAGAGCAGAATTTTGATAATATAAAAAAGCATTCTTACCTGGAAAGCCAATGTGTTGAAAATGACAAGTATGAGTCTGAGCGGCCATTTTGCTTTATACGACTTATGAGCCCAAAGTCTATGAGCACCTGCTGTGATACCCAGCCCCGACATCACGTACAATATGTAGGCTGTCAAACAAAACATTCAATACATTAATTCTATTAACGAAAAACATATTGTAAAAGGACAACAAAAGAATGATTTCTTAAATTTACGCGAACACTACACATTGAATAAAACTATTATTTACGGATTTTATCGCGTTTAATTACTTTAATTTATTTTTATTATTATCCCGACGTTTCGGGTGCTTTACAGCGCCCATGGTCACGGGGGGGACTGAGATGTTTGACGTCCCAATGTCATAGTTAGTCCGGCTTCATGATACTATAAGCTCGTTTTGCGTAAATCGGACCAAAAAAAAATTAATATTAAAAAACTGAAGGTAGCCGGACTAACTATGACATTGGGACAACACAAAAATTAATCACAAAAGAAATTAAAATAAATATTGATGATGACAATCACCAACATTAGCTTCAGCAGTTTTACCAACTCTACAATTGGCAACAAAGCGCAAAGTTCATTTTGCTATTATAACTCGTATTTTAATATAATTTCTAATTGATATTATTAATAACGTTCGTATCATGATATCTTATCATTGATTTTAACAGTATTTAAAACTATTTTTATGTTATGATTTCTTATATTTACGCGAACACTACAAATTGATTAAAACTACTTTTACGGATTTTATCGCGTTTAATTTTAATTGGTTTTTAATTTCCGATGTTTCGGGTGCTGCACCCACGGTCACGGGGGACTGAGGTGACTGATGTCCCGATGTCAATGTTAACCCGGGGTACATTCAGCTTTTTAGTTATTATTTATGGTCCGATCTATGCAGAAGGAACTTACTATGTCTTGAAGTCTTGCAGTGGTATGCTGGGGTTTAGTTTTAATTTTATTAATTACAGGGTCCCAAGCTGGTGGTAGCACCCAGCCTCCTTCTCTATTGAAATTAGGATGTTTTTGGATTTCAATAGCCTTACGTACTATCCTTGGTAGGAATCGATGTTCTTTCGCGAGGATTTGTGGTCTATCAAAACTGATGTAATGGTTGGGGCCGCCTAAGATATGATTACGAATGTGGTCTCATACATAGGGCAAAAAAAAAGGATCTATTAAAACCCGCGTAAAAGAACATATAGCTGACGTGAAGCATCAACGTTCCGGGAAGTCTGCAGTTTGTGATCATATCTTAGGCGGCCAATAATTAAAAAGCTGAAGGTACTCCGGGTTAACATTGAGATCAGGACGTCAGTCACCTCAGTCCCCCGTGACCATGGGTGCTGGAAAGCACCCGAAACGTCGGGAATTAAAAACCAATTAAAATTAAACGCGATAAAATCCGTAAAAGTAGTTTTAATCAATATTTTTATGTTAATTTAAAAAACGGTTACAGCATGTAACTGTAGTATTTTAGTTATAGTATTTATTTATATCCAGGCCGACGACAGAAAGTATATCGTGAATCAGGAATTGATAAACAAAACGAAGATGAAAGATTTATCAACAATAATAAGACAGTATACGTTCATGTGTCCTTTTATTATTAGGTCTTTACCACAGAAATCGTGACTTATTATTTAGATTTCTATATTCTTTACCAATGATAATTTTACCAATAAAAATTAGAAAAATACCGATATGAAATTTAAAGAAAAAAGTAGGGAAAACAAATAATGTTTTAGTAAAAATAGGACAAGTTACGTAAAGTAAAGTAAAGTTACAGCCTATATACGTCCCACTGCTGGGCACAGGCCTCTCATTTCTGAGAGGGTTTTAGGGCAAGGAATAGTCCACCGCGCTGCCCCAATGCGTGTTGGCGAACTTTAACTGTATTCGAAATATTTTTTTCTTATTTCTCAGACATGCAGGTTTCCTCATGATGTTTTCCTTCACCGCCGAGCACGTGGTAAATTAGTACAAGTTACGTAGTAACGTTTAATTATCCTGTCTGTGGTACAAGTAACTACCTATAAATGAGCAAATTGTCAAGCAATTTTAAGAATTTACATACCAAATATGTCCGTTTGCCATTTGGCGGAGAACAGGAAGAGATAACCTCCATAGATAGCAGCAAGATGGAGGTAAGCAAACAAAATAATATTCCTCCAAACAAGTTGCTTCGGCTGATCGTCCGCTTGTTCAATTGGACGGTTGGGGAGGGCCAAATCAGGCGTAGCAGCATCTGACTCAAAGAGCACCCCATTCGCATCAGCCGATTTTGGGGCCATTTTGAGAGTCTGTAAACAATAAAGATATAAAAATTAGTGTTAATCTATTTACGAGAACTTGTCACACATATATCGTTATCATCAGTTGTTATCTTGTTTGCTGCAAAGCCTTTCCACTCGTGAAAATGCAGCGCAGTGACAAAACACTTAGAATTATTTTTATGTTGTGCATACTTTATGCAGTATGTTAGCAGCGAAAAATAATCCGTCACCGCAATTCGTCCGTCGGTGTCGTAAGAGGTGACTATGGAAAGAACCAGTAGGCTTGCCAACAGGCCTGGAGATAGCCAAGGACGTTCCATTTCCTTTGTGGATGCGTCCCGCGAAGGATATGAGTTGGACGCTAATTGTCCCCTTTTATTCCATACGACAAGATTTCGGGCAGAAGTATCTAGCAGTGAATGCACGTATTGTTTTACCTATTTGAATGAAGATTTGATCATTTATATGAAGATCAAAAAACCGCAAAACCACTAGGAAATAAAAGAAAAGAAATAGACTATAGCATTATACTCATGGGAGAATATTCAGGTGTATAAATTAAGACGAACGATCTCTTTTAGAGTAACCAAAATAACATTATAAACATCACATGAGCACGCATGATCTGTCATCACTGTAAAGTTATCATAAAGTTAAATTTATATAAGTAAAGAAAAATAAATCATGTACTGTTTTAAAAAATTATCAAAAAAAAAAAAAAAAAAAAAAGCCCCCAACCCCCCCCCACACAAATTTAAAAATTTTAAAAACAAAAAAAAAAAAATTTTGTACAATAGTTTTCCATATTTGTTGATTTTAACTTTTTTAATTTGCCTTATTGTGCTTTTTTTAAGTATCATACTCGTAAATCGGAAAGTAAACATATTCAATGAAACAGTTCAAAATACGAAAGTAAAATTTAATTTGTGATTATAGTTATCGACATTCTATATTTCCGCAAATCTGAGCCGTAAGGTTGGCAAGCCTACTTGATGACTTCTGATGGTGATATAAACAAATTCCCATCCTGCTTTCGCTAGATGTAAAATAACCGGACCAGTGACGAGAAGTTGCTACAAAAATGTACCACATATGGTTCTATTTCTATGATTGCCAATCCGCCTGCCAAGGCCGTTATGATAAAACCTCCCTACAACGGAAGTGGTCAATATTTCATACTAGTGTGAAAACGTTGAGGCCAGGTATAAACTGCCCCGGCTACCACACACTTATTTATTTTCACGCAAGGATGGAGACAAAATGAATATGAAGGAACCGCATAATACCACCTTGCACCTCAAATGATAAACGGGGCTCTGGCGACTGAAAATGGTAGCGTATTCATTTCAAAATGCCAACGCAAATTCCACCGATCTTTAGTGTTAGTACATAGTAAAGAACTCAGGCCCGAATGGTAAGTTCTGGCTAATTTTGCAATGTATCAATCAGTGAATTAAAAAGGCTAATTAAGTTAAAAGGGAAGGGATATGTTTCAAATATCTTATGGCTTCTGATAGATGGCGGTGTAACGCGATTCAAATAAGAAGAACGTCAATGACTTCGAATGACCGCGATCTGTCAACGTTCATTTGAAAAGTACGGCTTGCAAAGATAGTTTTTTTTTTCGCTTTATTTAACTGATTTTTTAATATTAAATTATCAAATCTATTGAAGTCATGTTCTATAAAAATAATTTAAAATATTACTACTAGTCGGTGGAATATTTTAAATACTTACATAAATCTATGTTCTATTTTTATAAGCGATAGCAGCAGTCCGATGAATATAATAATAATGAAATGATACTGATGTGGAGATGACGAGTGAAAATAAAATGCAGGACAGATTAATAGTTAGTAATAGGGAATGAAGTATTTATTCTAACTATTCAGTCGGTATCCCTTTTGTTTATTTGAAAAATTCTTTTAATAAAAGTAATTTTGAAAAGAGTCACCTTAGCGCACTTCAACACGCTTTAACGCGGAATAGTGATTTCGGCTAAATCGCTACTTACCATCATGTGGAATAGTATTTTGTTTTTTGCGCCCGAAGCAAATATGGGCAACCCTCCGGAAAGCGGGGGAGGGAGGTTGGGAATGCTCATAGCATACCACGCAGCCGGCTGCGTGGTTATGTGGTGACTTTTACCCACTAAACCCAACCTTTTAGGAAATGGCTTAACGATCAGACTAGAGATCTCTAAGCCGTATACGAACGCGACCCTCCTTGGCAGAAAGGAGGGCGCATGGGATAGTACTCAACCACTGACTTATATTACATGAGTAGATAAACGGAACAGAGATAAAGCTGCATACAACATGCGGTTGCATTACCACAAGCACGCGGGGCATGAGTGCGTGACCACTGGCCGCTTGTCGCGTACGCGCGGCGAGACTGGAAAAAACCATTTACGCTGGCACAGCTAGTGGCATAGATTACTGACTATGTACTAGTACTACTAATACTATGTACTAGGCTAGTGGATAATCTCAGGGTCAGTGCGACGCACGTTTTTTGGTTTGTTAGTTACAAGTTTGAATAATTTAATGTAAAAACGTGGTATTAATCATAATAGTTATTTTTATTGTACTGTGTGTATGAATAACACTGGACAAAATAAAAATATATCATGCTTTAAATATCCCAAGAAGGGGTAGAATCGTTGACTTATATATTACTAGCGTAAGGACCGGGCCTACCGAACAACTAAAACGGACCAGTGCGCTGGCCCTAAAATTACAGTTTATATTCAATAAGGTTAAACCGAAAAGAGTACAAAAGAAACCGTATCTGCTTAATTGAGTCTGAAAATCTGATTCAAAAAATATTTTGAAATTCTGTTTTCAAACCAATTGCTTCTGGAGCATAGAGTTTTTATCGTGGTAGCCCCTCATTAAAGTTGTATCAAGGATGCAACATAAATGCATCGATTGACCAGAAAGGGAGCTAATTCTAATTTTATTAAGAAAACGCGGTACTCATGTACAATACAGAAATTCTCGATATCGTAGGGTTAATATTAAAATGTAAAAGGACCCAATAATAATACAAGTCGACTTTTAGGTAAAATTATGGTATTTTCGCTTTGTATTATTACAATACTATATACTACAAACTATAAAATAATGGTACAATTAGAATAATTATACTACGAAATCCGACCCTGGTTACGTCGTGTTTTGATATGACGTTTGTATTATGACAGATGCACTACTTTTTCTTGTATGAAATAGTTATGAGTAAAATATTTAGATGGGCCTATCCTTCCTTTTGAAATCCAATCCAGTACATTCAAGCAAGTACCTTTACTTTATTGTATGATCCTTTTTGTAATAAGAAGAAGTTACTACACGGTATGTTTTTACCTCTTTATTGTTATTACAAGCTTTTACTAAACATTTGTATGTATGTGGGTGGGTTGGTTGGTATATAGTAGGTATCTGTGTTAAGTTCACATGTTGCAAGTAAGATTTGAACCACATCCCGATGTCTGATTGAGTTGAAATTTTGTAAACCGTAATTTCAGTGACAACGAAATAATATGATAGATATAACCTGGTGCTGCAGCCAAGATTGTCCCTCACTAGAACTCTTCAACGGGTAGTTTAATACCATTTTTATCATGAATTGCTGCTGCAGCAAGCATTGTCTTCTCACGAGGGACCTATTTAACGATTAGTAGCAGACTTGAAACTTTGTATTTAAGCGAAGTAAAGTTTTTTTTAGTTTGGTAACAACTTTTTATACAAGGGGTAAATTTTTTTTTTTACTACCAATTTCAATATGGATAAAATGCGAACATAATCAATGTAGTCAAAGTGAATGAAATACGCATTATTAAGGATAACTCAACAACTACTGGTCAGATCTTGATCAAATTTATATGGGACCACATGAAAAGCACGCTTTCAAATAAAAAAATATTTTTTTTGAATTCGATTTAAAACAAGTGACAAACGAACTAATAGTCCATCTGATAGTAAATGGCTAAGCAGTTCACAGACTGCTGTAGCCAACTTAAAACAGAGAAGGCGCACATTGAGGACTAAGACGAAATGATCCAAAGCCCATTATTATAGTGGCTCTATGTAGCCTTCAGATCGGAATACGGCAGTGCAAGCTGTGCTACTTGGCGCCAGAAATTGGTAGTGCTATTAGGCGACAGAAAAACATATGTATATTGCTTTATTGTGGTGAAGGTATTTAAGGTCATCGCAATGTTGGCCGACCCAAGCAACCGATTGTCAATAATTTACCAGAAGAAAAGGAAATAAAAAAATGTACATGCAACATTTTTCATAATAAGAAATTTTTGGATAGGATTTGTGAGAGAATTTAATTTATACCTTTTTAAAACGTAAAAACAGAATATCTAATCTAACCCAGTTACCTCTTTCCCCTCCTCTATGCAACTTTTTACATATTATAAAAAGTATACCTATATTTTATGCACCTATAGTAAAAAATCCATATGTCAGAATAGTGTGATCTAAAATATAATATAAGCATGAACTTAATGTCGAACTTTACTTAACTACTCGTGTTTTCGAATTTCCAGCTATCGAACTTTTGTATATGTATGTGTTTGTAACAGGAACAGAAACTTTTTTTAGAGTTTAGTCCATAAGAATAGTTTCATATAATAGCGCTCAGTATGAAAAATACGTGGGCAAAAGGTGAAGCCCTCGTTATGGTTTTCCTCTGCATAACATACTCATCTCAAGCGCTCCCCTTTCCTCAGCGCACGTTACTATAATTTCTTTATTTAGTAAGCAAGAACAGTGAGCTGAACGAATTAATAATGTTGAATTATTATTATTTTATCAAATCAATATAAATAAATATATGTGTTAATTTACTTCCTTTAAATACTGTATATATTTTAAGACAATCGCTTTTATGGAGTAAAAAAAACATGTTTTCCCCCTAAACTTAAGGGGTAAATAAGTGGGATGGGATATTTAGGGACTTTATATTTTTAGGTATATTTTTATGTACTTTTATATATTTTTCCCTTAAGCTAATTTTTGTTTAGAAGTTTACGATGATCACGGCACAGCAACTGTGCAAACCTTTTGAAAATATCTCAAAATTCGGGTTGTATGTTTTGCATTAATAATAAATAATAATTTACTGAAATGCTACCAAGTGTGATGATGATGATTGATGACTTATTTTGCAACGAAACAACGCATCATTTATAACAATTAACCCATTAGCTAAAATGTATTATTTTAATATTTCGGAACCATCAGAAGAAAACGAAATAATATTTTAAATATTAAATAATTTGTACATGAAGAACATTACAAAGCATTGTATTTATTTTTGGGGGAATTCCAAGTAAATAAGGTGATTTTAGGGGTTTTTGACTTAACCTTAAGGGGTAAATATTTTTTGTTGTTGGTAATAATATGGTATAATAACACTGAGTGTACCTAAATTACAGTCAGCCAGTCACACGTCGGAGCTTGGAGCTGACACGCACAATTTTTCTTATTCAATATAGATTATAGTTTAACTTACCGTTGGTTCGGAAAAAAACCTCTGTCCTGGTTCCTGGGTACCTAATCAACTAGCAAGAAAAAAATTATATAATATATATAATTTTTTTCTTGCTAGTTGATTAGGTACCCGTATATAAATAAATATATATATATATATATATATATATATATATATATATATATATATATATATATACGAGTATATTATACAGACGAATTTTAACACGAATATAATGTAAGTTTTTCGTTGGTCTGACCAACGAATTGGTGGTGATAAGTGATAACAGTACCAAAAGTCTCACACCTTTGATTCTGCTTCACGAACTGTAGAAATAGAAATAGAAACTTTTTTATTCAATGTAGATTATAAAAATACTTATTAAAAGTCACTTTTTTAATTTACCACTGGTTCGCAAAAAAAAACCTCTGTCCTGGGAAGAACCAGCAAGAAACCCAGCGGGACTATTTTTTTCCAATAATAGCTTACAATCATGTTTACAATCAACAACACAAGACAAATTAGAAATAGCTTGGTAGCGATCACCCTTCCCAGGGGTTATTATCATCCATAAATTCCCTAATATTATAATAACCCTTTTTATACAAACTTAGTTTAATAACATTTTTGAACTTTGTGTATGACAAATTTTGTATATTTTCTGGGATTTTGTTGTAAAAGCGTATACATCGCCCCATGAATGAATTACTGACTCGGTGGAGTCGAGTAACTGGTACTACCAGCTTGTGTCTGCTCCTAGTATTTACAGAATGAATATCACTTATTTTCGCAAAACTACTTTTATTTTTGTGTACGTACATCACATTTTCATAAATGTATTGAGAGGCCAGAGTTAATATATTAATTTCCTTAAATTTTTGTCTCAGTGACTCTTTTGGTTTTAAATTATATATTGCTCTAATGGCCCTCTTCTGTAAAATAAATATAATTTCAGTGTCAGTCGCGTGTCCCCATAGCAACGTAGCAGTACATTCTTCTCTTCGTGCCTATTACAAAAATCTTCGGGCGAACACTACACAAAAACTTGCGACGTGATCCGCGTCGCGTATTTTCTGCAATGTGACGTCCGACATGTTTAGTGTTTATCCAATTTTAGCTCGTTCTGGGACAGATTATAAGCGACAAGGTTTGTTCTGCAATAGGTGAGCATTTGGTATTTTCTTACTAATAAAACTACCCACTAAATTTGTTATGGTAATATAATTTGAATAAAAAAAAACTTTTATTTCCTATTTAGGACAGTACAACTCCCAGACGCGAAAACATGTGTGACTGGTTTCGATGTTAATGCTGCTAGCCTATGCGGCTCCCACAGCTTCATGGGACTAGGGGCCCGCGGCCTGAAAGGTCGCAGCCTGTTACGAATGCATTTATAGTCGTTATTTTAAGGCCTGTTGCGAATTCGCGTCGACGCCTGCTCTTCGTAAATTATTATTAAATTAGTAAATTATTTATACATGGTAGAGCCATACTGCAGTTATATTAGTAGTACAGTTATAGCGCGAATGGGTCGGTTCGACCGGGGAAGGACCACGCTCTCACAGAATACCAGCGTGAAATAGTAGCTTAACGCTGCTGTGTTTCGTATGGTGAGTGTAGAGACCGGAGACCCTTTTTACTGGAAACGAGGCATTCCATCTTAGTCCTCACGGGTGACAACGCATCTGCAATCTGTAATCGAGGATAGATGTGGATGTCTATGGGCCGCAGCAACTACTTGCCATCAGGTGGACTGTGTGCTCGTTTGTCAACCTATCCTATAAAAAAAACCCGCGCCGGATAGGTATTGTATTTGTATGTAATGCATGAGATTTTGACACAAGTATGTATTCTTTATACTCTAAAGTATGCAGTGTCAAGGATACGGGACAATAACAAGAACAACAGACCCGAAGACCAGCAACTTCTATTTGTGTAAAATATTTGGGTACATATATCTCAAAAGTTAGTATCTACTAGACCAGGTGTTTCCAAAGTGTACGCAGTAGATAGAGAGCAAAGAATGGCGCCGCGTCGTGAGGCTGGGAATGCCAGATCGAAAGACCAAAATATCTGGAGAACATTTGAAAAAAATTGGATTTTGGGATTACTGTCGGGAGAAATAAATATTTAAAAAATGTGAAATAAAAAGTTTATTTTTTAAATTATTGGCTAAAAGAATATTTAATATTGCACACACATAACTAATTTTAGGTACACTTAATTTTTGGGTTTCCACTTGTATTTGGCATTGGACTTAACCGAGTCCACCTATTTGGAACCTTTAGAAGTATTCAGAAAAGATTTAAATTTCAAACAATTTACTTCGTAGTCCAGTCAAATTATAAACTCAGCTTTTACTAAATCAAAGGCAGCTGTGAAGTGAAGAGAAGCTGTTTGTCTGGAGATTTTAAGATTTGTCGGGAGTCTGGAGATCATTAAAAATTTCGGGAGAATCCAGACAAATCCTGACCATCTGGCAACCCTACGTGAGGCGCTCCTGTTTACGATTCTTCGATAATTAAACTAAACAGGTCCAAAATGAATATACAATTTTAAGTTCAAAAACTCTAAGAATTCTTATTCCCTTTGCAAAATTTTATCAGCATCATATTGTGGATGTTTAAAATTTTGTACCTATTCCTGAATTGTACCTATTTCGACTACCTAGTATCATTGTACGTATTTCGACTACCTAGTATCATTGTACGCTACCTCGACTACCTAGGGCGCAGATAAAATACTAGACCTATAATGGCGGCTCCACATTATCGCCATGAATTCACGGCACAAGTCGTGCCCTCTACATTCACGAGATTCTCACAAACGTTCGTGAAACCCGCCGCGAAACGGACGTAGAAGCTGCTGCTGCAATAACTTTATTTATTTATTATATTTTTATTATATATTTTATACCTGGTAGAGCTATGCTGTAGCTATATTAGTAGTACAGTTGTAGCACGAATGCGTCGGCTAGACCGGAGAAGGATCACGCTCTCACAGAATACCAGCGTAAAAATAGTAGCTTAATGCTGCTGTGTTTCGTATGGTGGGTGTGAACCGGAGACCCTTTTTACTGGAAACGAGGCATTTCATCTTAGTCCTCAGGGGTGACAACGCATCTGCATTTTGATTTGAAATCGAAGATACATGTAGATGTCTACGGGCCGCAGCAACCACTTACCATCAGGTGGACTGTGTGCTCGTGTGTTACCCTGTCCTATAAAAAAAATTGCTGTGGCAACATACTCGTATCACTATTTAGACGTCCAAAACAAGAAATTTATTAGAAAGCGTTGAGAAAAAAAAAAGAAGATGGTGTATGACTAAATTAAATCGTCCGTACGCCTTTGTAGTCCACTCCAAAACGAATTGGCACGGTACCGTGAATGTGGATGTGTACGCGTGAACGCCACGTGAAGGGTGCGTGAACCCTTTGTCGCGGGACAAATACCGACTCTGATCGGGGAACAGGCGTGAACGCGCGTGAATCCCGCGAAAACCATTCACGTTCACGCATGTTCACGGAGATTCACGGCGATAATGTGGAGCCGAGGTAAGATGCGCAGCGAACTTAAAAGTTTCGGTTTGAGAGCTCCTGAGCTAGACCTGAGGCTCCTGAGCATTATGCTATTTTGGAATGTAGACTTATAATGGATTTCAGCAAAGCAACGCCCTGATTCTATCAGTTATCATTTCTTAGTTTCCAAGTCCATATCTGTATGTAACCGTCTCTAAGTAATTAGTCTAATGTCGTCTAATTCGTTATCTCAATATTTTTTTAAAAACTGACATATTGATTTATCAAATCTTCCCGAATGCTCTTCTGGGGCACTTAGGCAAAGCTTACTCTTCTGCATTATGTTTGGCTGCTATACAAAATCCGTGTTTTATGTCGTTACATTAAATACCTACGCTTCGAGTTGAATGCATTCACAGCAAAAAAAAATTTAATGGTAGGTTCACGTCAAAAGTAGAAGAAAGTTCAAACAGGACATTACATTCCACATTACACAAACACCACAACTCACAAACAAATTCACAATACAATGATATTTACAAATTATATAGTATAACAGAACAAGAAAAGGCACGTTTTTTATCGCACGAAATTATGCTAAATATAAATGCTAATATTTAAAATACATATTTGGTGGCTAAAATATAAAAAAAAACCTAAAAATTTACGAATTTATGAGATAAATAGCAGTTCAATACTCACAATTTGTACCTAAACACTTATATTTTATGTTCAAATATAATCACAATAATAAGAGCTATTTTAATCAGCTTTTATCACACTAGCACTTCTTTGCATTGGTTATTCTCAAGACTTCACTCTCATAATGATCCTAGTGGAATGGGTACTACTTCGCCGCGGTATGACATTTTATAGAAATGCTTATATGTTACGGATCAATATAATTTATAAGAAATGTAAATGAAAGGCAGATTGTTTTTATCAATATACAAAGTAAGAAAAAGGTAACCATATTTCTGTATTGTAATAATAGGATATTTCTATATTCTACACAAACCAACGAAGATTACATTTTTTAATATGATTTACAGTGTAATTTTGAATGCATTTTAGATATAAAATCTCAAGTTTACACATTCAAAGTTCAAATAAATAAAGTAGGTAATTTTTATTCAGTGAACTGCTTTTCGCAGTTACTTTTATATGGTAACGCCCTGCGATACAGAAGAAGAGAAAACGAAATTAACGGATTTAACCTTCCCCATCCACCATATTCTCCATGCCTTGCTTCAATAAACTTTTACTTTTTTCTAACTATGGATAACTTTTTGATAGTTGATAATTTCAATACCTAGTTCATCGATTTTCGTACAATAAACAAATCAAAAAACAAAGTAAACTTACAGACTGCAAAAGCATCAACAAACTCTACGCTTAAAATGGCAAGAATGTGTAAATATTTAGGCAAATATATATTATAAATTATACTACTTAAAAAAGGTATTTATTGTAAAAAGCCTTTTATTTTAATTTCGTGGGAATACTGTAAAATAGATCTTCTAAAATTAAAAAAAAAACTGTTTTCTCATAAATTACGTATAAGATAAAAATAAAATACAAGACTAGTCTCGCAGTAAGTACAAGCATGGACACACTATTTATAATATACATAAATAATTATCAGCTTCTGATGTTTGTTTTGCAGTAATAGTATTTTGTGATCAGTAGGATTAGTATCACTAACAGTAAGGGGTTGGAATAATATGGCAAGTTTTATTGGTTTATCAATTTATTGTAGTTGCTTCTATTTCTAAATTTTCCAATAAACATAACAACGCACCGATTTTATGCGCATTATTTGAAATTAGAATTCGTAAGAAGTAAATACGCTGCAAATGTTCTGTATTGTAAAAATGATTTGAGTTTAACGTATGGTTGTTTGTTTAGCTGCTATATTTTATTTTTAATAATTTCAGCCTCATTTTCATACGCCCTAGTAAACCTAAAGGTGACCTAGCAACCTAGGTACCTACGTTTAGTATTTCATTCAATGCGGTATTTATACTTTCAGTTTTTGCAGTTTATAGGCCTTTAAAATCAAAATATTATAACTTTAATAAAATAATTATTACCTGTCCTTATTTTAACTATTACGGTGAAATGTTTAAATTTAATCGATTTACTTGCCTATAAAATGTTTTATATACATAATTTCATACATAATTGCTTAATTTTTATTTAACAATAAATAATATTACATATAATTCTAGTAAAAGGTATACTAAAAAAAAAACTATTTAAAAATACTAAATCCTACCTTATAAATCCAATAACAGTGAAATTGTTTCGCGATTTAGGTTTTCTTCAGTATTTAAGTGCACAAAAAATATTTAGTAACTATGTTCACACGCTTTTATTTTTAAATCTACATAATATAAAATTTGAGACGAATAATGCTAGAGACGCCCGACATAAACCTTTATTCATGTGCTCACGTCATTATACCGTAAAGTCATACTATCAGTACTATACAAACTTATGTAGACCAAGTGTTGCCAGGCTATTTCTATAAGAAAGCCGAAAACTGCTTCGTAGAAACAATACGTCTTGAAACTGTTGTACATTGTAACCACTTTTTATTAAATACAAAATAGCATTATTATTACTGAATACATCCACAAAAACTAATTGAATTATAAACTTATTTATATACGTTATAAAAGACAAAGTCCAGTCGTTAAAAAACAAAAAGTACGAAGCAATGAAAATTACTACATATTCAATAAAGATATTAATAGTTACTTTAAAACTATCCGCTCAATAAAATAAAATAATGTGTCTTACCTAGTTTAAAGAGCACCTTCCGCCCTCCCTAGGGAGGTAAGACACATTATTGAGCGGATTGTTGCAAAGTAACTATTAATATCTTTATTATAAATTATAATGGATTTCCGCAAAGTAACGCCTGATTCTATTAATTATATATTAAATGATTCATATTATATTTATGTATATAAATGATATATTTATATATGAGCTGCATTATTATTTTATTTGTTAAGAATTTCGATTGCTTAGAAATAAAATTTATTTAATATTTGTCGTTAAACTACAAAACTTCAAAAATAAATTGATATAATATTTAATTTCTATAATAGGATTATTATAATATATTGTAATAGGTTCAAGCTAAAAATAAACTCACGGATAAAGTGAAACTCAATAGAGCAAAATTTCCACACTACTTCAAAATGAGACTCCAATTTCAAGTATATTTTATTTTATTACGTAGAAATATCAGTAGAAGTTCAGTGGTTTTGAGTAGGTACTATAAAATTGGAATCTTTTTAATAATTTTTATTTAAGAAACTTAAATTCGTTTTTATACAATAAGTGTGACAAACGAGCACACTGTCCACCTGATGGTAAGTGGATGTTGTGAATTCATCCTCGATTAAGAATCACCTAGTAAAAAGTTTTTGGTTTCCTACTCACCGTGCACAGCAGCACTAAGCTGCTATTTTAAGCTGGTATTTTGTGAGAGTGTGGGCCTTCCCCGGTTGAGCCAACCCACTAGTGCTGCAAACATAATATAGCTGCAGCGTGGTACTACCACGTATAAAATTTAAATGAAATATTTCATTTAAATCAGTCAAAATTAAAATAATCACAATGGTTTCCTGGTTTTATTTACAGGTGTAAAATTCTCTCTAAAGAAATCAAAGTTAATTAAGACATAACTGGCACTATCACTAAATAAATTACCACAACACTACTAAAATAAAAGTCTATTTTAAGCTAAAACTTATGTAAACATGTACACTTATGGTTTTCTGTTGTAGAAATACTGCTAATATAATTATAATAGTTTTTCTATAACTGTATCCTACCTAGTTCAAGTAGGTCAGAAAGACTTTCTACGATGATCTACGTTCTAAGATTAGCAGTAATTATTTTATAAATTTGCAGAGAAGGCTCTGAATAAGTAATGAATTTAAATGATGGAAAAAAATTAATTAAAAAAAATCTCAAATATTATGTTGTCTGTGTCATTAGTAATGGTAGATCGGTAGGCAAAACGTATAAATCACATTTAATTCGGCATAATTTCAAATATAAGTAGAACCCTCATTACTCGTATTTTCAAAAACTGCAATAACTGTATATCATTATGTATATATTTGAACTTAAGTTACTCCTTGTAGTTGGAATTGATTGTGATTTGATGCTATAGAAAAATCATACAGTATGACAAACGTACAAACGAGATGTATGCGTTGTAATATGTATTAATCATTGCTCACGCATTATTACCCCTATATTAAAAATGGTAAAAATCTACAGCTGGCAACCCTGTTATTGGTATGGCGTTAAAGCAACGCGAGCCGTACGGCGCAGCACGACAGCATGAACGGAACCCGTGGATTGGACAACACGGTGGCGCGACTCAACACGCCATGCCATGCCACCCATTCAACTACACGGAACCACAAAAAAAAAAAGCTTGTGATCCGTCACTCAGAGGTGATCACAAATGCTTCGCATTCGCAATAACAAAAACTAACGAATGAGTCATTATATTGTAAACTTTATTAGTAGATTTTTAGGTCATATCTCCAAATTATGGTGAAATTTATTTAAACTTTTTATTTTTTTTTAAATTATTTATTAATTAATTATAAATTGATTTAATCAGGTACAAAAAAAATTCGAACTTGGAAGCGCCCTTCATTTTGTGTAACCCTTTAAACGCCATCACCGTAATAATAATAATACGAGTTTTAAGAATGGGTAGACTAATACACCACGCGCCACCCACGTAATATTGCGTAATGATCATGTCACTAAAACCTGCAGATACAACATTGTCATTGTTTATTAAGTTTTTATAGTTTCTATTACTTGTTCGGTTTTGATAGTAGTAGACATATATTTTTTGCAAATTAACTGAAATAGACCGTGCAAGATTCATCTAAACATCTGTCTGCATCGCTATACCCATGATGTTACAAAGGGAAGGGTTGCGCCCTTCGATCATTAATTAATGATCGATGGCTGCGCCAATTATAAAATGAAAATAAGGAACTCATGCTACTAAATTAATACCTAACAATGATGTTTTTATACAACCTTACCGCTGACGCTGACTGCGTTTCCTCGCTAAATGGCTATACCTACCTATACTATGTTTGAGCGAAAAAAGAACCAGCCCTCTTATCACCAGCAGCGACAACCAGTCGCGGATATAGTTTCTTTAGTAACTTCACCGTTCGTGGTCCCCATGGGACGATAGTTTCTAGGTACAGCATATGGCACGAATATGTTGTCATCTCTCAGAGACTCATATTTGCGCTACCTCTGATGCCACCCCGACCCTCATCGAGGTACCTCTGAGATTAGAGGCTGCCAAAGTGTCTATGCAAGTACCGTACTCTAATATTGGTCAAACATGGTCAGGGTACACGGTCGATATCTGCAGGCAAATTTTTTGTACCAAAAGTAAATAACTACTACGGGGATAGAACATTAAAGAAACGACTACCGTACTTTTTCAATAGTTTGCCTGAGGACATTCGACGAGAACAAGTAAAAAACATATTTACTTAAAAATAACTTAAAGAAATATTTATTGGTAAGTCTCAGTGCCTAACATTAATATTATGTGTTATGTAAATGAGACTTAAATGTTCCTGCAGACAAACTGTGTAAATTTTGTATTTGTATTAAATAAAAAATAAAAAAGTAGCATCCTACATTAGGGCTTTATCTCTCTCCTAAGGGACCAAAGTCATATCATCGGATCTCTTGCCATCGTCCCTAAATATCCCACGAGGCTCCAAAACCGAGGAAACATTTATAGAGACAAGAGCCCTTAAAATGACTTCGTTCAAAGAACCGTAATGAGAAAATCTACCAGCACTTTTCTTACATGAAAGTCCGTGGAGCTCACTAGTCGACGCTGCTACCACATGGGCGTAGATATGATTGACAAGTCGCTGCTCATAGACGGATTCCTACGGCGATGCGCAAGCTTTCCGCCTTAAATAATATGCCGAGATTACCTAATGTTAAAGCGTGTAACCAGTGACGATGTAACCGGTTAGATTGACCAGGGAGAGATTCCTTAGTCGTAACATCCAAAAGGCGGGCCTGAACTTGGTCACTATGGAAATTATGAAACAAATCTTTTTGCACACTCCGTACCAATGGAATATCCCACTGTTTTTCTTGGTTAACTTCCAGGGAAATATTTTCGCCGGGAGAGAGCGTTAGCCATGACTGCCTTGTCTACGCAGCAAAGCACAGATCTACTTTATTATTTAAAATTGTTATATGTCACAGACAAGCACGGAAGCAAGGAAAGCAGACAATGCAACGCTAGAAAGATTTCTTACATCAATATCACCAAATTTTATAGGTAAAGTGCCTTCAGTCCAAGCAGATATTTAAAGATAAATAAAAAAATCTAAGTATGAGCAATGTGGGGGGATCAAGATATACAATATATCAACATAGTTTATAAACTGATCAAATTTTGTTTTTAAAACAGGTTTAATCTTGAGTTATCTAGCTTGCTTTAAATAATCGAACGGTTCAATACTATAGAAAATTTGAATTAAATTATCTATTAAAACTAGATTATTTGGAAATTATTTTTTCTCATTTATTGTTATTTAGTTCAAGACCAATATTTTTAAAATTTTGAAAAATGTGAGTAATTTCTGAGGACGTCATCTGCACCAGTGTTGGTACCGTCGTCCAGGTACCAGACATTCAGCTTGGATTTCAAATTTGAAATAATGGGTTGAATTGCCGAACTGAAAAAAGCTGGACCTAGTCACCCTGCTAAACACCTTTTTGAGTTTTAGGTTTGTTTTACTAGTTTTTTACTAAAAATTAATTATAAAACTTTATCCATTATATATTTATTAAAAATCGATATAATATAGAAAGGAAACAAATAAATAAATAAATATAAGATTTAATTATCCTTTTTATAGAAGAGAGAGCCATAATAGCTCAGGGAAATGAGAGGAGGCCTGTGATAGCAGTGGGACGTTCGTATATAGGCTGTTACTTTTATTTTATTTTTTTTATATAGAAGAGAGAGCAAACGAGCATGCGGCTCACCTGATGAAAAGTGGCTACCGCCAACCATGAACAATTGCAACACCAGGGGAATTGCAGGTGCATTGCCGGCCTTTAAGAAAGGAGTAAGATCTTTTATTGAAGGCCCCTAAGTGGTACATAGGTCACTCAGTAAGTTTTGAGATGCTCGAAATTTAAAAATGGAACGCACCCGTGTTATATGTTTCTAAAATGCAAATTTATTTAAAAATAGGACTCAATAAGCTATTCGCTCAATATTAAAAAAAGTTCTATTAATTTTCTTGCAACGCTTCCCGCGCTTTTCATTTAAAACGATGGATCTTAACCGTGAACATTTGCGCGCTATTATCTATTATGATTTTAAATTTGGTTTACCGAACAATTAAGTTTACAACGGTTAGGAGACTCAGCTCCATCACGCGCAACAATTTTTAGGTGGTTTGCTGAATTCAAAAGGAGTAAAATTAACCTTAAAAACGATCAAAGAACCGGGCCCCGTAAACAGCATTAACGG